AAGCCACAATCCTTGACGTACTTCATGAACTTATTCGTATAGTCCTGTAGAGTATCTTTGTTCTTCATGCGCATGCTGAAGAGTTTGGCCATGGATTCCTCAGAGTTGATGGGAGCACCAAAATGTTTGCGGAACAATGCCTTGGCTTGATCCCAATCATTGCATGCCAGAAGATCATTCTTGGTCCATGATTCGAAGTCAAATGGCAGTGAAACAGGCACGTAGCGTTTCCAAACCAAATTTACTTCATTACCGGATGCTCTGATGACGTTCTCAAAAGCACTGAAGAAATGATCGACTGTGGTGAATCTTGGATGGTCAGGCCAATGCTTAGCTTGTCCTACCACCTGGAAACGGGGGATCTCATTGAGATTGACAGGTCTTGCTTTGGAATCAGCCCTCTTAGTAATCGCATTGACTTGCTTGCTGAGCCATTCGATAGACGCAGATGCTTCATCAGCCGCCAAGCGTTCTTCCTCAGTGTAAGTATCACCAGCGTTACGATGGATCTGATCCAAGCGAGCCTGAGCAGTGTCAATCTTCTTGAGAAGATGATCAACTGCAGAAAGTTGAGCGTGCTCATCCACTTGCATAGATGAGTCATAAGGAGAAGAAACACGGATAGAGTCTTGAGCAATATCCTCTTGAGTGTTTTCGGTAGCGTTGTATTGGTTGTGAGACATGATAAAAATAGTTTTTAAAGTAGAATAATAAAATGTAGAGTATAAGATAAAGTGTAAAAGTGATAACCTTTGAGTTGAAAAAAATGTGGAATTTGAGGCTTTACAGACTAAAATTCACGGAAAAAAAAGAATAAAAAAACAGTAATGTCAACTTGATAAAGGTATATTTTATTATCAAACTGACAGGTGTAAAGTAAACTGAAGTCTCTCTACTGGCCAGGTAGATGATCCTTCTTATATACTATAACAATGGATAAAAGTTCTATTAATTAGATTGACAAATAAGTCAACTCAGATCAACTAATGTCTAATCATGCTAAAAGACAACTCCAGCAAGCTAATCATGATTTAGCTCTGTCTGGATGAATAATTAGACTCTCATCCGAAGTACCCTGATCTATCCTTTCCATAAGGATAATTAATATCGATCTAGTAGCATGTATCCGATAGGTACAGTCTTCTTAGTCTATATTAATAGTACATATCTGAGTGTATATCGCTAAGCATACATCTTTAGCATGTATCTGGATATATGGCATGTCTATAGCATATCGTATGCATGTCTATAGCATGTCTCATATATAGTACAAGTCTGTAGTACATAAAGTATCTGTAGCTAGTATCACGGATATAAGCATGTGTCTTATAGCGTGGATCATGAAGTGCACATCTGAAGCAACAAGCTCATATTGCATTAATCTTGGTGCCTATCCAGATATGGTAAACATCCGTAGTTAATGTCGGAATACAAGTATAAGTCTATAGTGCCATCCATGTCCGTGGTGCCATCTATAGCCTATATCTTATATAGTATGAATCTTATAGTACTAGCGTATCTGAAGTCCATATCTTCTCATGATCATAGTATAAATCGATATCGTACATCTAATCCAGTGTACATACAGTTTATATCTAAATCTGGTAACTGGATGAACTGTCGGAATGCAGATCATAGTGGATGTATTCCACAATTATGTTGTATTGCAAACTTATAATACCACTGTTGCTTTTGCAGCTGTTGTGCGTGTTTGTGTTGCTTTACATCCGACTAATACTGCCATGCACGTTGCTCATGTATGCATTTTTGTTGCAACAACAACGAGCTGTTTTAAACATCTTTGATATTGTATTTATGATATTCCTTTCTTTGACCCACTTTGTGTGAGTGTCCTTTTTTTGTCTACATACTACTATACTCCTATAGTAATATGTTCTTTTCTTCTTTCGTTTATTATTATTATGTTTCTTTTGAAGCATACCTTTTTTTACGTTGTTGTGGATGTGCCTATCGCTGAAGCTCAACAAGACTTTATCCGAGGCTAGGAGGTAGATAGGCTGCCTCCACTTGGTTATTGCTACTTACTTTAGTGATGATTGAGGGTCTCAATGCCAGAACTCAAAAGCTAGGTGATGTAAGTAAGGCATGCTCTAGCACCTGAGGGAAATTTGATGATAGTAACAGCTATATTGCTGTATAGCGGCGCTTAAAATTTTGCCTCACATCAAAACAGAGGGAAACCCTCGCAAATTTTTTTTAGGTCAGCGGAGTTTTCAAGTAATCTGATTGGCTAAGAGGTTGAAACAACGAAGGTCTACAACTAGTTGATTTTCTGTTGGTTTGCTATCTAATAAGATATTGTCTTTTGTAATAATAAAAGCTTAATAAAATGGAAATAAAAGTGTATAATCATACTTGTTGTATTCACACATATAGCTGTTTCTAAATCACAATACCGTAGACTGAATTCAGTAATAAACTATGCACATATGGAGCATATGTAAATGAAACGTATTGTTGCATACAAGCATGCATCTTAGGGTACATTCACTTTCTCCTCAAGCCGCCTTTTACAGTGTAGCAGCATAGATGATGTTTATCGTATCACATCACATCTATGTTTACAAGTCCAGTCAATTGTGTGTGCACAGGTGCCTCAGGAACTACAATACATTCAATTTCCCCAATGTCAAGATATCGAGATCCACCTACACTACATGAAACATATCGACTTAGGTGGCCTCTCAACAAGCCATACCAACAATCCATAAGGCCCCAGTGGCCTGCTATTTATATACCATCTCAACGTAGCAGTCATTGACCAGGAATCTACCATATTTAAGCAAGCTAGATGCCCTGTAATAAAGAAGCTTTTTGTTTTCGTTTTAGATACAGTTGACAACTGATTATTATCATCGACTTATTATTACGAATTTATCACCATCAAGGTTACATTAAATCATGCTATGACGATAGCTCACCCAAGCCCATCAAGTTTACTCAAATCGACCCTTATGGCCAGTGCTCTTGCATTGATTACCACTTTAAATCAAACATCAACAACATTTGCCAGATATCGCAATAGCAGAACCTATTGCTCTCTATCATCACTAATCCTACAAGCTAGTTGCAAATGTATAAATACTCTTCTTTTTTTTTTTACTCAATTCCAGGATCTTCAGTTCATTTTATACATAAATAAAATACAGTTGATTTCTATTGTATTTTACCTTTGCTTTATTTTTTTGTGAAATCCATTCAACCTGATTTCACTGCAGATTTTATTCTATTTGGATAAAGATACCATCACTTATTACGACCATCTTGTGCGTGATTGAATACACTGTGATCAGGAGTGATTCATTCACTCGATGTGCGATATAAGCATGCATCTTTACTTTAGTATTTTTAAATGGTTTTTTGATGTACATTTGAGCGCTTTCATTACTAGATCCAAATAGCATGAATTTGAATGAGTGTTGTTTGATGAACTTTGGTTTTTCAATTGAGTTGCGTTTGGGTGGCTATTTCATTACAACCAGGATATAGAGTAGCCATTTAATGGCACCACTCATGTCCCTTTGTGCTGCTTGAATAAAGACTTCCCACTTCTTTGCCTCTCAGAGATGATCTATATCCTAAACAACATGGATCATCATTCAGAACAATGAAGATTCATTCTCCGTTTAACCTTTGCATGTGTACACGACAGAAGTATGCATTTGACCCAGCATTTTAAAAATCGGAGGGTACGAAAAGGGCCATACTAACTTGCTGGTTTTAAGTTATCAATAGATACTTGACGTGTTGAAAAATCTTGCTTTTAGGACTAGACAACTGTAGCTTGCTTTATTCAAGAATAATAACGTTTCCAATTTAAAGTATGTATATTCCCCCGCTTAAAAATAGCATCTCCAATGTCGATTATCTCATGGAGTATGCATTTCGAATATAATGTTTCCACTTATAAGTTGCTCCAATATTATTATTATACAACATATTTAAGTTTGATGAGGTTCTATTTCTTTGACTTAGAGGATCTGGATGTACAAAATGTTTTTTAATTTTGAGGTTTTCAACTTTTGGACGATCGAAAATCGATTTTCTATATATTGATGCTAGAGCCTTGAGACGAGCATGTTTCTATACCAATTTTTTGCCCTCTAAACGATTGTGCAATTGAAATTTGCGTAGGTAGTTTGGTTGTTGAGAAAATGGAGAATTTTGAAATTGGCTAATTTTTGACAGATGCTTCTAGTAAAACTTTTAAGATTACCATATAAAGTCGCAGAGGGCGTTTTGTTTGACTACGGCATGTTTCATATGGGGTTACTAAGGGTGATGCGGATGAGTGGTGACTGAAAATAGCCTAAATGAGCGATTTTCAAAGGGCTATTCCTCAGGATTTTATTAAGTGAACGGGAGCTTAAAGCTTAGTAGCTTCTGCTTCTTTTTTAGTCCTCTATACGATGGGATGTTTTGGGATTAAGAGATGCTGTAGCAGAAGTCTATGAAAGAGAGTAGGTACGAGCTAAGAAATCGCTTTTTTTTTCTTCTTCTTTGCAAAGAAACACCGGATTTGTGTGTTGTTTTTTGATGAGTCGAAATATCAAATCAATTTGCGATACATTAAAAACCATCTTCCATCTCATGTATATTCTGGGTGATTGTTCTACCTGACTACATATGAAATATACTAGTTAGGCAGCCGGATTCGAAGATTAAGATTTGGTGAGATATGGCTCAGATTTAAAAGAGCCCTGTCATTAGTTAACGAAAGTATCAATGTTAGCATCAATTGCTTGGCATCAAGTAAGCATCCAAAATTAAAGGTAATTACTAATAATTTAATAAAGGCTTTATAATGAAACTACTATCCTTAGCAAGATTCAAATTTGAAGTCTCTGGCGTAGGCCAATGTTCAGCAAGCATTGCCAGAAAGCCAAGTACTAAAAAAAAAAAAAACAAGAGTACAGTATAGAATACTAGTTTTTATCAAAGAAATTGGGTAAAAATACAAAAGGCATGTTTCTTCCTTCTCATGTTTGAAGTGATTTCAACAATTGAGATATAAACTTTTCACGCTTTTCCTTTGCTACAACAGGATTACGCTCTTTGAAGTCAATGGGAGGTCTTAGCAAGACGGTAAACAATTCAACTAACATGAGAGTTAGTATTATTGCTATTGCAAATGTTGGTGTACTTACTAATACGGCTCTCTCTTTGTTTCTTCACGGGAGCAGGTGCTTTGTCAATTGCCTGTCTCAAAAACATACCAATGTATAATAGCACATTTCGATGGAAAGGAGGCAATGATTCCTTGAGCTGGGTATTGGTTAATAAAGGATGAGTGCATAGATAATGAGGTACTTACAATGTTCATTGCCTCAATAGATTCAGATGCCTCTAAGGCGCGCTCATACATGTTGGTTGTGATAACAGGCTCCGGTAAGCATTCCAAAAAGGCGACTAAAACATCAATCATCGAATTGGCGCTGATAGCTTCTTTTCCAAGTTTATCATTATCCAAGCTCAATTCAGAAAGAGTGCTCTTGACATCAAACAACTCGTCGCTCTCATCTGGCTCTTGACTTGTTATAGGTTCGACATGATCGGCAGTAGCTGGCTCACCGCCAAGCAGCACATTGGTATCAAATTGCTCCCCATTATCCAAGCATTTTCTAATGTAAGTTGATACAATGAGATCGCCGTGCTCCAAAAACAAAGATTCCTATATAATGGATCAGGCCAACGACCTTGCTCTTTTTTTTTAGTAGATACTTACAATTCTAAACATATTGGCATTCCACAAAAAGTTCATCAACTTCCATAGCTCTTTTGGCAAATCTATCTGATTCAGAACTGGAGAAGGCGGTTGCTGAGGGTTGTTGGCATTAGCGGGTTTGCTTCTTTGCAAATTCTTTGCGGCTGCTTCACTGATAGGCACAACCATCTCTGATAATTGCTCCAGGGGCACGCCAAAGCAAGTAGGTATGTAGTCTCCAGAGACAGAAATGAAAAAGTCCTTGCTGTTTTCCAGACGCAGAATCAGAATGTCGTCCATATTCTCTTCTCCTCGGTTCAATGGAGCTGAGATGGTGGGATCAATAGTAACTTCAAATCGGATAATCACCTTTTCACCAGGAGCCACAACGCCAGACAAAGGGCTCACTTGCAACCAAGGAGGCAAAACAGTGCCATCTGCATCTTTTGGCAGGAATTTAAACACTGTCAATACAGTACCTGTGTTTGTCAAAATGACATTTTGCTCCTTGTACTCCATGAACTGCACTTTTCCAAAATCAACATAAGAAGACGAAATCTCACCGCGAGGCTGATCGTCTTGGCTGTCTTTGAGCTGCTTGACGAGTTTCTCTTGCGTTTGCTTCTGAAGTCGACTATCAATCTTGCGAACATTCATCGCCAGCAAAGCTCTTACAGGCTTATGATCACTCATCATCATCTCCATGCAATCTTTGTAACTCTTCAATTCCAGGCTTGGCTCAGCAGTTCCTTTTCTGTCCTTTTTCCACAAAATACGGTCTGTCCAGGAGGGAGCTCGTCGCTTTTCGCTGGTATCGTACAGGTTCGTGCCTGCATCGTACTTGTAAGTAGGTGCAAAGTTGATGGGTCCCTCATCAAACATCTGGAAAGTTCTGCCTGCATCTCGTTCAATGGATAGCTGGTCGTAATCCAACAATACATCCAACCTATCTTGTCGAAGCCAGTTCTTAATAACTGCTTCATTCAAGTTGACTCGATAGTTCAAATCGCCGCACCAAACCAAGAAGCTATCACACCCGTTAATCTAGTAGCTGGATAATCGATCGCAGAGTTATACTCACTCATTATGAAAAATAGATGCTTCCGCTCTCCAGTCTCTGAGTACATTGTTAGCTTCCAAGAAAGACACACCTTCATCACCACCATCATTCCAAGAATAAAAGACATATTCAGTCAGTGGATCTGGTCTTTGAGGGAATACGAGCCGTTTAGATAATTCAGTGAAATCTTGATTTCTCTTTTCGGTTTTGTCAGTGAACGCTGCCAAATGACTGGTAACAAAGCAAAGATAGCTATCGTGAAATCGTAAACGGACCGAGATGCCACCCTTATTGCCCTACAACGTCATGTCAGCAGAGACACCGAATGCATCTCTTTCACGTTTTACCATCATGTTCATTAATCCGACTCCTGCGTAGGTGCTTGTCACTTCTGAAATGAAGGGTCGATGGTTCTTCTTTGCAATCACAATCATGAGCATGGTTACCAGCTGCTTAGATTCAACCTTGTAATAGTCCTTTCCATTATCCTTCAATGACTCAATGATGGCTTTCACCCAAGCATTTTCTTTTGTTGGGTCATACCGAATATATGCTTCGGTGTTTGTTTCCATCTCTTGAAGACTAAACATTGCATAAGAAACACATCTAGAAGCCATCCACCTACATAGCTTACCCGATAACATAAAAGTCAGGGTCAAAGAGAGTGCCATCATCGGTTTTGAGTGTTCCCTGCAGCCAGGTCTTCAAAGAAGATGAAGGCAGGCTACCATGCACATTCCATGTACCCACAAAAACACTATATAAACAGTTCAGCACTCAATCTACAAAAATCAAGTCAATGTACATACTTTGTCTGTTGCCACCTGACAAACTCATCCTCCTTCTTCATCAATTGTGCATTAATCCAGTGATCTTTTGCCGCTTCAAATGTAATTTTGCGCTCTCTTGGCTCATTCACAGTTCTGGTACGCTTCAGGTTGATCTTGGCAATAGTTTCTGCTCTTTGCAAAGGTAAGACATAACGTAGTGAACTGTCTCCCAAATCATCAGATGCTGGTAGGGAATTGGCTCTCGCAGGTGGCAATTTCTCTGGCTTTTGTTCTACAACAGATGTGTCACAAAAGAGCAAGTATATGAAATCATGTAGTCATTACCGCTATATTTGGAATAATGCTTTGCCCACTCATAGATGTTTTCGTTGGTAGAGTCGACTTTGGCGCTGTATTTCAGTTGTTTGATCTGGCTCAACATGTCTGACATGATGGATTTCTCTGGAAATATGACGCTGGCGGAGTCTTGTTGAATTGAAAATGTAACAAGGAGATCTTTATGGTTTGCATTAACAATAGAAACTTTAATCAGGTTGCGAAGTATACCACGAACCTGACTTGCTGCTACCGAGTGAACTTGATTGTGCTGTAGTAAGAGAGTGAGCAGGCTAGATAGTTGAGTTCGCTCATCAGACTTACCAATGTCAATCTGCAAATCTGAATAAATAGGAATAACTTTCATTACAATTGGTGGCATGGATGGCGTTTGAGGTTCTTCAAACAGAATCAGACTACATCAAGATTGGTTATTCACAACATTGGCCAACTTTAGGCAGGCTTTACCATGATTCATCCACTGAATGGACTATAGCAGCTAGTAAACCTTGCACATGCTTCTTTGATTTGCCATCTACAATCGTAACTTTTGAGCAGTATGAAAAAAAAAAAAAAACAAAAAAAAAAGAGTCAAGGATATATCATTAGTAGATGACACGAGAAAACAGATACACCACCATGGCAACGCTTATGGTTGAGATGGTAACAGCTTTTATGTAAATGATGAAAAGGATATAAGTTGGGCTTTGTCTGGAGGATTTACCAAGCCATCTACTGCACTCCCTCCTTTCTTTGTATTCGACATGTTGTTGCAGCAGATGAAAAAAAAAAAAAAATTGGAAAAAGAGAGAAGAAAAGAGAGCTGGTATCACAGTGTTTTAGTTTCGCTACATGTTTTTATGTATTACTTTGGGGTGGCTCTCTGCAAACCAAACAAAATGTCGGCCCATCTATTTACCGTATCAAATGCTCATTCTCTCATTCAAAACCACACCACAGGGTGACTATTCAAAGCGAATCCCCATCTTGGCTCAAGAGATTTTTTCTGTTGGAACGCGTTTTAGGTGAACCAGAACATTTGTAATATGTCTATCGCACTCCGAGAAGAAAACTTTGTTGTTATCAATGTTGGGTCCACCATTACAACAGCTGGCATTGGTATGCACGATACCAATAAGCCTCCCACGGTGGTAAGACATGATGCTTGATGTTGTAGTGCAATAAATTAACGTTGATCTTAGATTGTCAACATGGCTGATTTCAACTATCCCATCAAAAACAACGCCATTGTCAACTGGAAAGACCTTGAGGAGTGCTGGCATCACATTCTCTTCAAGGAACTCAACATTAAGAAATCACGTAACGAGAGTCCAGTATTGATTGCTGTCCCTGTTCAATGGACAAAGCTGGAGCATGAGCGAATCACTCAAATCTGCTTTGAAAACTTTAATGTACCTGGTGTATATATTGCACCTCAACCTCTTTTGACATTGTTTGGTTGCGGATCCGTATCTGGCATGGTAGTTGATATCGGAAGTGAGAATACGGGTAACATAGTGCAATCGCTAGGAGAATATGGAAATGGATTACTGAATCTGGGCGTGTAGATGTCAATATCATTGTCGACAGCAATGTCCAATCTCAATCCAACTTTTCCGTCCCCATTGGAGGCAACCACTTTGACGCATATTTACTGGAATTGTTAAAGAAAGACAGTAAACTCGTTCAGCAATTCACAGATGCCGGTTTAGAGTTGGATATAGAATTCGCCAAATTTGTTCGTGAACAGTCTGGTGTCTGCAATGTGTCTGTTGGCCATGAATTAGCAGACAACATGTTGGCAGCAGAATTGTCGAATGCTATGGAGGAGCTGCCTACAGAATCAACTGAAGAATTAATAGACGAGGATAACCCAAAGAAGGTGGAAGAGGAGGAGGTGGGCGACGTACCCGAGAATGCTGAAGTAGAATACAAAAACCACAAATTCAACATTGGCCCTTATCGACATGACTGCATGGATCCATTATTCAACCCTGAACTATTGAAAATAGACACTCCATCACTTCCAGAGGCGATGAGATTATCGGCCATGAATTGCGAACCTCCAGAAATCAGACCTAAGCTTTGGGAGAATATCACTGTTGCTGGCGGCTGTTGCATGACTATAGGAACCACAAAACGCATCAAGACTGAAGTGCAACTGTTCTTGCCTCATTCAGAAAATGCAGGTGATACACAACCGCGTCAATTGAGCTTTCTCAGAATACCAGACTACTTCACTGTGCTCAAAGACAAACAATATCAGCAATATTCAACTTGGTTAGGAGCAGAAATTGTTGCAAAGGTAATGTTGCATGGACTTGGACTATAGAATGAGTGATTGACATGAATTTAGCTTGTATTCATTGATGCAAAGAATTATATCAGCAAAGTGGACTACAACGAATCTGGCCCTTCTGTGGTTCACACAAAAACATACTAACTGCTCTCACTTTTCTTTCCTCTTTCACGCGGTTGCTCTATCATTTTGCGAATAAAATCGATCATTTAGCGTATCAATCATTGGATCTTACGGTTGCTAAACGGTGTAGATCAATTTGCATGAATGGGCATCAAAAGTCTGACCCCAAATCGCTCTTATCATTTGATTGTTGACATCGAATCACCAATTGTTTCCGTTGTAATCATTCTTCCTTTTCACAAGAACAATTCCTCGCTTAGGTCTAAAACAATACAAAGCTCATCAAAGCCAGGTGTTCATTGTGCAGTAGGGTGAAGTGGCTGAATGTCAAGAAATCAACAGCACAAATGCTATATATATTTTTTTTCTGTGCGAGATATGCTGTGTACCTGCTGACATGTTGTGCTTATTTGATAACTGAGCTCTTGAAACATGTGAAAATGGCTCTCCCTATGGATTATTTGAACGTCTCGAAAATAAATCAGTCGATTGAATTGGCAATGGGGTAGGATACATGCTGGACGTCTTAAATCTCAGGTGATGCATCTTTCTATTATTTCAATGCAATGCTGCCTTCAACATACACAAGCCGCATCCCACAATGAATCTGAATTAAGGAGAGCTTGATTCAACAAAAAGAGCCAATTACTAGATGACAAAACTGAAGTTAAATTGCGTCCTTATCGACGGACTCATTGTTGTGTTGGTGTGGTGGATTGTGATGGAATTTCTCTGTGCCGCCAGCCAACCAACCAACCAACAAAGCACCGCGTCTTCCATTTGAGATTTCAAAGCTCTCCTTTGCTATTTTTTTTCTTTTATATAAATACCATTTAATAATTACTACAACACATTATCAAAAATGTTTATCGTCAACTGGTTTTGGGATGTTTTGTCATCTTTAGGTAATTTTGCGTAAAAGGAGCTTTGGATTGTCGATACATGGAGGCTGATGTTATCGCGTCGTTTTCCTTTGCTTTTTTTTTGTACGTAGGTCTTATGAACAAGAATGCAAAGATTCTCTTCTTGGGTCTTGATAACGCTGGTAAAACTACCTTGTTACACATGCTGAAGAATGATCGTTTGGCTACCTTGCAGCCTACGCTTCATCCTAGTAAGTCTATAGACATGTTGGGTTGTTGGATCTTCCAGATGGTTAATGTATCAAATGAACCATTTAGCCTCAGAAGAACTTTCTATTGGTAATGTCAAGTTCACCACCTATGATTTGGGTGGCCATCAACAAGCTCGTAGATTGTGGAGGGATTATTTCCCTGAAGTTGGAGGCATTGTCTTTTTGGTTGATTGCGCTGATCACTCTCGTTTCCCGGAGGCCAAGGCCGAGTTGGATGTAAGTGGATGTAACTGCTCTTTGGTCATCACAAGATGTCTTATTTCGATATGTGTGTATGTGTGTTAGGCTCTTTTGGCTATTGAACAACTCTCCAAGGTCCCTTTCTTGATTCTCGGTAACAAGATTGATGCACCTGGTGCTGTTAGTGAGGAGACTCTCAGACAAGAATTAGGTTTATTCCAAACAACTGGCAAGGTAAGAAGGAAGAATGCTGATTTGAGTGTTTCAAATGATTGAACTGTTGAAAAATAGGGTAAGGTTGCTCTGACTGATATTCGTCCTATCGAAGTTTTCATGTGTTCTGTTGTCATGAGACAAGGTTACGGCGATGGTTTCCGCTGGATCTCTCAATATGTCTAAAAAAAAAAATTATATACGCAAATGCAAATAAACAGAAAAAAAAACAAGTTAACATGCCATGGTTTATTGATATTGTATGTGTGTTCAGGCTATACTTTGCAAGTGAGAAAAAAATGTATGCTAAAATAGTGAAGAGGTGTATTCTCAAGTGATGAAAACCAGAAAGCGAATAATGTAAACACGTATTTAATGAAGTTTTAGACTAATGTACCCTTCCATGACCTACAAATCTATTCTACACATCAATCTATGCCAACCACTTGAGCGTTTTCTCCTTACTTGCTCTCTTGGTCCTGTGTTTTTTGATTACCTTGCTCTTTGTATTGGCTCAAGATCTATGATTACTGCACATCTTGCTGCGTTATTCTCTTAACTGAAGATACTACAAAAGCTTCAAGTACAGATCGACCGCATTTTGTATAAAATCCTTGTCGAAGAGAGCCGTATTGCGATTTCTCTGCTTTAAGATTCCAAATAAATCGCTTAAACTATCAACATCTTCTCTTGATGATGCTTCATAGCCAAAAACAGTTGATCGTGAAATAGTTGAACCTCATTCGAAAGCTTCACAAAATAAGTTCTCACGCATCCTCGGCTAGATACGAGCAACATGGCAACAGAACCAGGCGTTCTCGTATAAACGCAGAAACCATGTCGTATTGTATGTTGAGGAAGCGCAATAAACCATACCATGCGGCTTCAAATGTTGAATGGAACCAAAGCTTCATTCCATTCATTCAAGCAACCCATTTCAGCCAATTCAAGAGATGGCCAATGTGCAATGAAGGTATTTCCATTAGAGGCAACGAAAATAGGGGAGGTTTTTTTTTTTTTTTTTTTTTTTTTGTATGACGAGATTGTTTTATTGTAAAACAATTATATGGAAGCTTTTATATAAGCATGATGAAACTTGTAAGTGAAAGCACTGTGATTTGTGAGTGTAAGATACACAGACTGATCGGGATTGACTTTTTTGATAGTATTGTAAAATATGGAATGAATGTATAGGGACCCGTGATTTTAAGCTTTTTCTTTTTCCTGTCCTGTCCAGCAGTTCTTTTAATGGTAAGCAATGAGTGGGGTAGAATATAAAGAGAAGAGTATATACAGTATATGAGCAATGTGTTATTGCGGAGAATTTACAATATTGATCCGAGCGTTTTGTTGCCAGGTACCCTCAAAACGGCATTGCAGGTTGTCATGGTAATTGCAATCTTTTAAATGATATGCAAACCAACAGGCTCGATACATGACATTGGAAAACCAACTATACAGTGTATGGATCAGTGTTTTCATGTGGTTTTAGTGCGTGTGTAATTACTCACATTTAACTTTAAATTTTTCACCCCCCCCCCCCCATCGTTTGTGATTTAAGGGGTTAAATATCACATATAAATAGTTTACAATAGGATTGCACATAATATATTTTGACGGGAAGCTTATTAAATCACTGTAAAGGGCAATTCCGGATTTTATATAGAAGTGAAAATCATATATAAAAAAAAGATACCATATATATGCGTATATAAATGCCTTAATTTTTTTTCCCCACATCCCCTTTGTCTTTTTTTCTTTTCTTTTCCCTTCTCCTTTACCTTTAAATGCTTCAAATCACGAATCAAGAGAAATTGGATTCTTTAATTGCAGTTCAGCGTCCATACCAATGCGATTTCTGCTTCAAATCATTCTACAGATTGGAGCATAAAGTACGTCATGTCAGAACCCACACCGGAGAGAAGCCCCACATGTGTACCTTTCCACAATGTGATAAAAGGTTCGCTCGTTCCGATGAATTGAGTAGACACATGCGTGTACACAGTGCTCCGCCTACTGTCCTGTTGCAACGACGTAGAAAAATCCGTAGATTCCAGAAAACAAAGTCCAGATCAAAAGATGATGAGGAGGCATATTTGAAGCAACAACAACATTGCTCCATCCTGCGGTTCATTCATCCTTCCGCTGCCGCCGCCGCTGCTGCTTCTAGCGCCATCGATACCGCTTTATCTACTGATCCAATTTCTGATGCTAACAAGACAACAACAACAACAAACAAAAGTCGCACTAGTCCTTACAAACAATCACCAAGTACTAAATTAAATCATTGCCCGGCACCTACATGCTTCAAGTCATTTTGGCGTAAAGGACAGCTATCCCGACATTTACAAAAACAACATAATATAACATCATTCTGTAACATTGATAGCATGGAGATGGTCGATACGGCAGCAGCAACTACTCCTTTCACATCAGCATCTACATACACTAGTAGCTCGGAGGAAGATGTGCCTAGCCCTCCATCTCTCCACGATTTCAATAGCATCACTGAAGAGATCTACTTACCACCACTGGACGATACTACCATGTTGGCAATGGATTATCGATTGCCCTCTATCAAATCGCTATTACATTTCGCTGCACAAACACCTCAAGGCAATCAGTAATTTTATACACCCATATACACACAACATCTCCTTACTCTTCTTACTCCTTGTTTTTCCTCTCTTGCAGTTCATTTTGTGTATACATGTACATTCAGTTCAATCATCTCTTTTTCCTCTTCATACAGACATGTATAAACACATTTCATTGTATCGCGATATAGTCAATCAATATGTATACAATGCTTATCTTTAAATAAAGTGTAAATACCAAGTAAATTATTTGTGTTTTATCCACAGTAGATATCAAAGGAGTAAATCAATAATAATTACCAGCATCAAGAGGAGAGTCCTATATATAATGGCTGAAATCAAGGAATTGCTGCTTCCTTTATTCATCATTATATACCATGTTCAAGCACAACTATCAGCTGCAACGTCCTCTAGAGGACGATGATATTCCACTCTGTCAATATGTGATACCATATCATCATCAGCAACAGCAGCAGCCCATGCCATACCAATGGAAGCTTCGACAACCATCACCTGCACCAAGATATATGTCTGGTGCTAGCTACTTTCCTCCCATAATTATTACACAACCACAACCTGTTATACGAAGACCTTTTTACCTAACCACGCCGTCTTCCCTGCTTGACACATTCTCAGACGAAGATGAGGACGACGAAGATCTGGTGCCAATCGCTGTGCTACAGAGCCCAATTCGAAATCAACAGCAATTCCAATCAGCCGCAGAAAAATACAAGGAAAAAGTAAAGGCTCAATTACAATAATCATTGCTGTTTATTCAATAAATCTTTCAGTGATGATAAGCTGGTGTTGCTTTGTTTCTAACGTCTTCCTCTTTTGCATTGGCTTTCAATTCCTTCCACAGAGTGTCTTTTTGCATGCTTGCTTTACATAATTTATTGCGAGCTCCTTGGAGACGAGAGATGTATTCGTTACTGTAATTGATATTTTCCTAAATGTAGTAACATGAGTGAGAAACAGCGCTCCCTTTGAACAGGCTTGAGCTTGGCTTACCAATAGCAACTCCTTGACTCGTTTCACAACCTCTCTGGCCTCGACATCAGCATCCATGTCATGGTCTTGATCTTGCTGTGGCGGCTGTGCATCGTTGTTTTCTTCCTCGTCTTCCTGTTTCTCCTCCACATGGTCTTGATGCATGGCATGATCTTCATTGCCGTCAATATTGTCTTTTGTTGTTGATGTTGCTGGTGTACGTTCCTTTATCTTGGCTTCGATTTCCTGATCTAGTTCCTTGGGATCCAAAGCATCAACAACATTGCTTGTTACTCCTGTGGCAGCAGCAGTCAAGGTCGATGCAGCGGCATTAGCAGCCTCGACGTCTTCTTTGTACTTTTGGCGCTGCTCAGTGGTACGATCAAATGTTAAATCTAGATAGCGAGGGTCATCTTGGTGCATGATGGCTGAAAGACGACACAAAATCTTGTTGAAATTCTTCTCGCCCTCAATAAATTCCATGGATGTCTTTGCGAGCGCATCGATTTGAGTAGATAGTAAGATTCTTCTTAAGGCTGGTCTGCGAACAATGTCTGTTGGTAGCTCAATAGGACTTAGAATGTCTGTAGAGCACACAAGGAGTGTCAATAAGTGGGCTATTGTATCGTTTCCTTGTTTCTTACCCTCGATATTAATCAATGTGTATGGATCCTCTTCTTCGTCTGAAATGCCATCTTCTACTCTCTTTCTCTTTCTCTTGACAATTGTTCGCTTCTTTCCACCATTTAAAAACTTTTTTCAATATGTCGTTAGTTTATTGGATTCGCGCTCACATGGATAGATGAGTCTCTCCCACCTCTGTTTCTTCAGCAAGTGTCTTTGGTGCACGTAACTTGTTTCCTCCAAATTGCGAATCTGATGCTGCCCATCTCTTCAGTGTTTGATCGAAATATAAAGGGTTAAGGTAATAGCAGACATAATGGATAGGGTTAATAAGCTGTTAGTATCATAAATTGAGGGAAAAAAAAAAAAAAAAAAAAGGATATGTTTATAGCCTCTGTTGTGAGGAACCAGGCCAACTTGATCGCCATCACTGTCATCATTGTCGTTCTGTATCCACTTGGCAGCAGGAAACTGCATAGAGGGGTGTGGTGGTTGTGGTGGATGTGACATGAAAGAGATTATGAGAGAAAGAAAAAAAAGAAAAGGGAAATACATTCTTCCTTGATGCTCATTTTGCATGTAACCATGAGAGCCACCATGGTGTGTGATCTTTTGGTTTGGCTCTCCGGCTCTTTCCACACATTGTGCTCTTGCTCTTCTTACAGTCACATTGGAATCTATTCAAACAAGAGAGTCGAGCAATAGACATATTGTACTCATTCATTTCTTTCAAATCAAACATGTCGCAAGCAAACGGCATTTCGTACGGCGTAAGACCAGAGGATGATGGATCTGATATGGATGTTTCATCTGATGATGAAGGCCTTTACATGTATGAACCTCTGCCCAGCGACCCTCAAGAGCAAATTCAAGTAAGTATCTTGTTGTGCCGTTCTCTGATATACATACTCACCATTGTCTAGTGTTCGAAGCAAGATCAACTGCAGCATGACTCTCGAGAGCAGCAGCAACCTCTATCGACACCATCAGGCTCCAAATCCAGTTCATCGCGTTTGACCACAATTACCAATTGCTGGACAACATTTGTTGATAAAGTGGCACAGCATCAAGCCCCCATTGCTACTAGAGACGGAGCTTCCGACACTGAATCAACGAGCTCCTTTTATACCGCACCAAATTCACCTATTGACTTGACACTGGACGACGATCAGGGTGCTGATATGGATCGACAACAGGCTACAGACATCATTAATGAACTTGTCAGTGAGCAGGATAAATTGACTCAGGAACTCGAGCGCATTACCAACGAGGAGAAGAGAATAGCTAGCTTAATCGAGGCAAAGAAAGCAAAATTAGAGGCAGTTAGAGTGAGGCAATTAGAGCTTCAAGTACGCAAATCGATTCAAAAGAACAGAAAAGCTGTAGTCACTCCAGTAAAATCAAAGAAGGGGAAAGAAAAAGCATCCCTTGACAAACAGTTTCGCAGCTATAGTAGTTCAGATGAGGAGGACACACAGCAACGACCTAGGAAAGCAAAAGCAGTTATGGACCCTACTAGCGGACGGCCAGAGAGACGGCCTGTGGAGGAACCCGCAAGAGCAGAGCCAAATGTTGAATTTGTTAAGGAGCAGGAGGCACAGGTGGAGACAAAGGAGGATGTAGTAAAGAAGACTGATGAAAATCAAACACAACGTGATGCAGTGATTGCAGAGAGAGAGAAAGTATCCTCACTTATAGCTGCATCTAACAAGCCATGCATCGCGAATATTGCCAAGCAGAACAAAAGCACTTTGCAAGCAATCAGACGCAGTCAAAAGCTGGGCAATACTTCTGTGGGCCAAATGAAGATGTTTCTGTGCGATCTTTATGACAAGTTCTTGGAGGACGGAACACTGTCAAGAGTACAAAAAGTCCACTACAAAGAGCTAGTCAGACAGGTGTCAAGGTATGATGCGTTTGGTGACGACCACATCCCCGGAAGAGCTACACCAAAGAAGGCCAAAAAGCTGGAGCGAAAGGTGCAGCCTGAAAAGTACCATATGCTGCCCAATGAGTTTTACGGTCATCCCAAAAAACTGGATTTTAGAAATTTGAAAGTCGACAGACGCAAGCTACTGGATGCTCTCAGCTGTCCGCAAATCGAATCACCTTTTATACTAGGCAAGGCTAGAAAATTACTAGCAAAGGGGCCAACCGAGCTTAAGTTGTCTGATTTCGAGGGTGTTATTGTAAGTAAACCATGAGACAAGAGCGCGTTCAATGGCTGATGGTGATTTATCTGTAGGGCCCTGATGGTAAAGTGATAGATAAGGAAGAGCTTAGAATGCATATGGCAAATCGAAAGATCAATCGATTACTTGCTTTGTACCAGGAAGTAAAAAGCAATGCTTACCTTGCAGCTGTAAGTAACCTTATTCTAGCCTTGACAAGGTCATACTGATAGAACATATTCTTTTTTGTAGCCAATGTCAATGGGTCAGAGAACAAGACATGAGTATGACATGGCTCAGCGCCGACTTGAAGAATCCGTGATGAGAGAGACTGGTACTATCTCACCTGAGCCCTCAACTACTGAAAATCCGCTCGTCTCTGATAATTCTACAGCTACGTTGAACCCTGTGATGGTATCGCTGGCACCTTCCTCCAAGGCAGTGGAATCAAAGCCCATCACAACTATTACCTACGTTCCTACTGAAACAAGCTTTATACGAAGTATATTACCCGGTGGACGAGAGCCAACCAACTCGATCAAGCAACCTAAAACAGCTCAAAAAGCCAAGGCTTCTCAGCAATCCAAATTACCACCTCCGCCCAAAGCATCAAAAGCATCCAATGCGAAGCCTGTCTCTTTACCAAAAGCTCCTACAAAAAGCTCGACACAAGCTTCAGCTTCAGTGCAAATACCTACTATACCAAAGAATTTCTCACCATCAGGGTTATCGGATAATCTCTCGCTGTCAGCACCAAACACACCGTCTTCATCACCCACCTTATCCACAACAAACACAAATACAATCCATCCACAACCAAGTGCATCACAAACCCCACCACCTCAACAAAATACATCTTCTACATTTCAACCATACCGTTCTGCATTGAATTCCCTTGGCGTTACCCGTAGCGTGGATGTGAGACCCGTGAAAAGTGGTATCTTGTGTCGTGCTGAAAGCAATGGTGGTGTTTGTAATGATAAATCCTGTTGTGATATGCACTTTACTGATTTCATAAATAAATAATGGAATGAATCCATCTATAGCAATCCCCATGATTACTTTGATACATTAGTATCAATTAATAAAAGAAGGTCTTTGAGGTCTCAAAGAGCAATCAATTATGTATTGATAGTCGCTAGACACATATGGCGGCCTTATTACTAACAAGGAAATTAAGCTGACAAGCACTTTGGTGATAAGAAGCCAGCTTAATTGGCGCAATTAGATATAAAATGCGCAACAAAAGCAAAAGAGAGTAGCTGACCAAGACAGCAGTACTACTACTCAATTCGTATTTCTCTTCTTTTAGTTTCCAAAAGCATTAATTACCTTCATGATGAGGAAAGCATTTTGCCACTCACCAGCAGCCAAAACTGATCAATTTCCCGCTTGAAATTCTGTTCTGATTTGTTGATATTTGAAATTTGTGGTAAAATAATGCTAGTGGAGCTACTTTTGGAGTTAATCAACATCAGACATGCTATTTTTAAACGGGAGAATATACATACTTTAAATTGGAAACGTTATTATTCTGGAATAAAGCAAGCTACAGTTGTCTAGTCTCAACAGCAAAATTCTCCAACATGTCAAGTACCTATTGATAACTTGAAATCAGCAAGTTAATATGGCCCTCTTCGTACGCTCCAATTTTTAAAATGCTCAATCAAATGCACACTTATGTGATGTACACATGCGGAAGGTTAACGGAGTTTCAGTCATTAATATTCTGAATGAGGATCCATGGGATTCTGAAATCTATCGATCATAAAAGTACGCGTTTCTTGATAGTAAACACCCCCTTCAGACTTATATGAAACCTGTAGAGAATTCAAAGGAAAATACAATGGTACCCATATCAAGTCTCTGGTGTACATTGTTCAACCGATATTTGGCACGATAGTTTTTGCGATTTTTTGACTGTTTTCAAAAGATTAATCTGTATCTGTCATCAAAACATTTTGTTGAGCATTACTAAACATTGTAGACCAAAAGACTTCCTATCGAATGAGCTATTGCTAGAAGCTCTAGCATAACTCTATCTGTGGAATTTGAGTCTTTATAAACTAAAATTCACGGAAAAAAAAGAATAAGAAAAAACAGTAAAGTCAACTTGATAAAGGTATGTTTTATTATCAAACTGACAGGTGTAAAGTAAAACTGAAGTCTCTCTACTGGCCAGGTAGATGATCCTTTTTATATACTATAACAATGGATAAAAGTTCTATTAATTAGATTGACAAATAAGTCAACTCAGATCAACTAATGTCTAATTGTGCTAAAAGACAACTCCAGCAAGCTAATCATGGTTTAGCTTTTGCCTGGATGAATAATTAGACTCTCATCCGAAGTACCCTGATCTATCCTTTCTATAAGGATAATTAATATCGATCTAGTAGCATGTATCCGATAGGTACAGTCTTCTTAGTCTATATTAATAGTACATATCTGAGTGTATATCGCTAAGCATACATCTTTAGCATGTACCTGGATATATGGCATGTCTATAGCATATCGTATGCATGTCTATAGCATGTCTCATATATAGTACAAGTCTGTAGTACATAAAGTATCTGTAGCTAGTATCACGGATATAAGCATGTGTCTTGTAGCGTGGATCATAAAGTGCACATCTGAAGCAACAAGCTCATATTGCATTATTAATCTTGATGTCTATCCAGATATGGTAAACATCCGTAGTCAATGTCGGAATACAAGTATAAATCTATAGTGCCATCCATGTCCGTGGTGCCATCTATAGCCTATATCTTATATAGTATGAATCTTATAGTACTAGCGTATCTGAAGTCCATATCTTCTTATAGTATAAATCGATATCGTACATCTAATCCAGTGTACATATAGTTTATATCTAAATTTGGTAACTGGATGAACTGTCGGAATGCAGATCATAATGGATGTATTCCACACTATTGTCATAGCATGATTTAATGTAACCTTGATGGTTTAAAGTGTGATGTTTGTTATTGAAGTGTAGAACCCTTTATCTGGGATATTGTGAAACTATGGCAGCAGAGCATAGTTGTCATATCTGAATATGCTTGTTACTGATTTGGTTTTATTTGGATAAAAATAACTTCTCTTATTACGACCATCATGGGTGTGAGTGAATACATTGCGATCAGGAGGAGTGATTCATTCACACGATGTGCGATATAAGCGTGCATCTTTACTATAGTATGTTTAAATGGTTGTTGATGTAAATTTGAGCGCTTTTATTAATAGATCCAAATAGCATGAATTTAAATGAGTGCTATTATTTGATGAATTTCGGTTTTCAATCAAGTTGCGTTTGGGTGGCTATTTCATTACATCTACCCATCAAGAATACCTTAATCTTTATAGACAGTTGCAGCCCTTCTGGCACAACAGAAGCTATGTAAACTTGATTACACTATAACTTGTTGATGTCGATTATTATATCGCAGGATTTGCAGGCATCATGAATTTCTGTTTGCTCGGCTATGATACAGGGTTTCGTTGTTTGATTTTTCTAATCTTGCTGAGACCAACTCGGTCTGTCTCGTATCAGCCATTTCTCCTTGATTATAATTGTCCAACACTGTGAATACACTTTATATCTATCTTTAAGGCTAGATATGCAGTAGTGCCTCTGTTGTGGACGACCATAAAAAAATGCTCTGCTGACCTGACAAGCATTTTGATTAATCTGAGCAAGTCGTGAGATTCGAAGAATTTGCAAAATATCATTGACGCTCAAGTTTTAAAATTACTGTAATCGTGCATTTCAAAAAGAAAGACTTGAGTCTTCGAATTAGAATAAAAGCATCTATCACTTAGAAACTAAGTTCCATACAGTGCAGAACATCTGGTTTATCAAACAGAATTGTAATTATTTACTTACTTCTTTAGCAACAAACCCTATTACGCCTTATTTTTAGTCCAGATTCTGTCCAAATCTAGTCCTTTTGAAGTACGAATAGCTCATGCTACAGAGCGTTGTAGATGCTTAAAATAGGACCACATCACTCTCCTTTGCTACGCTTTACTCATTGATGCTTTATCTCAAATTTTTTTGGATCATTGCAAATCCATGAAAATTCTCATATTTTCATAAGTATTAGCAAGGGAATATTCTTGAAAATCAAACAATCGCATTTTTTACCCCAGAAATGAGGAGTTTTTTTATGATACATATCGAATCAAACTGATCGTAAAGACGGAATGGATCATTGAAAACTCTTTCTAAGAGATTTATATATGCGAAATCTTGAAATACAGTGCGCGAAAAAAATGTTCCAGTGTTTTGCCAAGGTGCACTTATAGCCAGTTTTCTCTGCAAATATCAAAGCTACTAAGGTTTGCTTAGTTTCATAAATAGCCTAAGTAGTTGGCTATCAGATGATATATTATGCACTTTATTCACGTAATTAGAAAAAGAATGGTAGCCTCATTAAAAGTGAAAAGTCGAACTTATTAAATTTTATAAAAAAGCTCAATATTTAGTTGGACCACCTTTACTCTTGATAACCGCTTTGATTCGGCGTGGCATGCTGCCTATGTATTTAAGACAGTCTTCTTTTGTGAATTTATACCATTCCTGTTCAATTCTGTCTTCTAGCTCAGAAAGGCTGGTGGCCCTAGTAGGGTACTTGTTCAAACGACGTTTTAGTTGATGCCAGACATGTTCAATGGGGTTTAGGTCAGGGCTTTGGGGAGGGCCAATCAAGGACACTTTGCACAGAGAATCCGTGATGCGTGAACTATTTCTTAATGGGACCAGAAGTATGTGGTCTTGCGTTATCTTGCTGGAGTCTAAACGTTTTCTTGTCCAGCCCATAGTACTCGATAGTGTCTAGCAAAGATGAGTCCAGAATTTCAGCATAAACTTCTGAGTTAACAGTTCCTTCGGTAATGGTGGAGCCATAGCTGGGTCCCTCCGCTGTTATCATGCCCCAGAAAATAACGCCACCACCATCTCCCTGAACTTGAGCCTCAGTTTGATGAGGCATCAACTCAGTGGGCCTGTCAGTCCAGTAGAAAGATTTGCCGTCAGATCCCCACATGTTGACCCTAGTTTCATCGGAAAATCCCCATTTACGCCAATCGTCCGCAGTCAAATGTCGATGTCTCTTGGTTTTTACAAGGCGCTTTTTCCGGTTCTCCGCAGACACGAAATTGGTCTTTGCCTTTCTTTTAGCCTTGAACCCTTTGCGCTTGAGTATATACTGTATATTCCTCAAAGTCATCTGAACTCCCATATAAGCAAGGTAGCACTACACACCCCTGGGGCCGTCTAAATTACCATTGCGGAGATTCCTCTCAATGTAGTTTATATTCTGCGTAGTGATTTTGCTGCGTCTTCCGGGTTTGGCATGTTTTGAATGACCAAGAAACTTCTTCCTGTAGCGAGAAAGTACACTGACGGACAAATCTGGGATGATTTTTTGAATGGCACGGAGGGAACAACCTTGGTTGAAAAGAGCCTTGACAGATCCTTGAACCTCCTGAGGAATGGAACGTGTCATGTTAAAGTAAGTGATGAAGTAAAGATGGTAAAATATAATGAGGGAAAAGACCAAAATCTCACGCTTCTTTATACTTTTTAAGCATTCTTCGGATAACTAACATTTTAAACATAAACGATATAAAAAATTACGGCTCCCGGATCATTTTCGTGGAATGTATACAAACAATAAGGTCATCAAGCGATATTTCCAATTTTACAAAATCGAAATTTTTTACCTTACGTCAGTTGCACTAGCTCAATATCTACTGTATCAATTATTTTAGTAGCTCATTTTGTGGCTAAAAATCCAAGCTTTTGTAGTCTTACTTTAGTTTTAAAACTGGAAAAAATTTGACAGAGCTGTAAGTGTAAAACTACGAATTGGCAAAACACTGGAACGTTTTTTTCGCGCACTGTATTTAGAGAAAACCTGTTTTCATATTTTTGGAAATTTCTCATTATTTTTGGTCTAAAAACTGTATATAAATAGCATCATTCGATGCGGCTTCTTTAAATCTCTAAAGCTGTATTTGAAAGTTGGGTGTAACAACGACAATTCTTATAGTCAAATTTGGCAAAAACATTTAAAAGATGTAAGATCAAGTCAAATTTGAACACGAAAATACCCCCACTGCACAAATTCAAATTAGATTGCCGCAGTTACGGCTGCCTCGGAAGAAGACTGAGACCAAATCTACTGGCCGTGACGTCGGATAGCGTGCCGTCTTATTTTTTCCATACACCTGTTTTTTTTCCCTTTTTGCAAGACGCGTTTAGCATCAAACCATAGTCGTTTTGGAAACCACTTGACTGATGATAATAACACTCTAGCTTCCGATAACTCTGTCTTGTACTGTTGGAAGAACTTGATACTGCTTATTTGACGTGGAATATATTAGGCATCATTCGGTAACAAGCACTGGAAGGCGTAGAACTAACACTAATTGAGTTTGTTTTTTTTATTAGGTTTTAGTAATTTTTTGCTTGTATGAGTGAGTGCTGCTGCTATTACTTCTCTGAAATCTCCGCTACCTGCTTCTTTGGTTCAACATGTCTGGTGATTGCTTCTTATTTGGTCTTTGTCTGGTCTCTGCTGGTGTCGTTCGTTCTTTGATTCTTTTATGGTGCTGGTGTTACTGCTGCTGCTGCTAATATGGTCTTCCCTGGTCTACTGTCTTTAGTGCATGTTTGTCTTCTGGTTTATCTCTGGTGATTGCCTATTCTTTGGTCTATCTGTGGTTATGGTAAGTGGTAAGTATCTTTTTTTCTTCTGGTCGCAATGATAAAAGACTTCCTTGAACGTTGGTATTATTGCTTCCTTTCTCATGATATTGCATTCATGATGTTTTCTTTGTTGCGCTTTGTTGCGTTTTCTTTTTCTTTTTCTTTTGCTGGTTGTGTTTCCTCTGTGGCTTCACGTGAAACAACATTAGTCATTATGTTGTATTGCAAACTTATAATACCACTGTTGCTTTTGCAGCTGTTGTGCGTGTTTGTGTTGCTTTACATCCGACTAATACTGCCATGCACGTTGCTCATGTATGCATTTTTGTTGCAACAACAACGAGCTGTTTTAAACATCTTTGATATTGTATTTATGATATTCCTTTTTTTGACCCACTTTGTGTGAGTGTCCTTTTTTTGTCTACATACTACTATACTCCTATAGTAATATGTTCTTTTCTTCTTTCGTTTATTATTATTATGTTTCTTTTGAAGCATACCTTTTTTTACGTTGTTGTGGATGTGCCTATCGCTGAAGCTCAACAAGACTTTATCCGAGGCTAGGAGGTAGATAGGCTGCCTCCACTTGGTTATCGCTACTTACTTTAGTGATGATTGAGGGTCTCAATGCCAGAACTCAAAAGCTAGGTGGTGTAAGTAAGGCATGCTCTAGCACCTGGGGAAAATTTGATGATAACTACCGTTATATTGCTATATATAGCGGTGTTTAAAATTTTGCCTCACATCAAAACAGAGGGAAACCCTCGCAAATTTTTTTTAGGTCAGCGGAGTTTTCAAGTAATCTGATTGGCTAAGAGGTTGAAACAACGAAGGTCTACAACTAGCTGATTTTCTGTTGGTTTGCTATTTAATAAGATATTGTCTTTTGTAATAATAAAAGCTTAATAAAATGGAAATAAAAGTGTATAATCATACTTGTTGTATTCACACATATAGCTGTTTCTAAATCACAATACCGTAGACTGAATTCAGTAATAAACTATGCACATATGGAGCATATGTAAATGAAACGTATTGTTGCATACAAGCATGCATCTTAGGGTACATTCACTTTCTCCTCAAGCCGCCTTTTACAGTGTAGCAGCATAGATGATGTTTATCGTATCACATCACATCTATGTTTAAAAGTCCAGTCAATTGTGTGTGCACAGGTGCCTCAGGAACTACAATACATTCAATCTCCCCAATGTCAAGATATCGAGATCCACCTACACTACATGAAACATATCGACTTAGGTGGCCTCTCAACAAGCCATACCAACAATCCATAAGGCCCCAGTGGCCTGCTATTTATATACCATCTCAACGTAGCAGTCATTGACCAGGAATCTACCATATTTAAGCAAGCTAGATGCCCTGTAATAAAGAAGCTTTTTGCTTTCGTTTTAGATACAGTTGACAACTGATTATTATCATCGACTTATTATTACGAATTTATCACCATCAAGGTTACATTAAATCATGCTATGACGATAGCTCACCCAAGCCCATCAAGTTTACTCAAATCGACCCTTATGGCCAGTGCTCTTGCATTGATTACCACTTTAAATCAAACATCAACAACATTTGCCAGATATCGCAATAGCAGAACCTATTGCTCTCTATCATCACTAATCCTACAAGCTAGTTGCAAATGTATAAATACTCTTCTTTTTTTTACTCAATTCCAGGATCTTCAGTTCATTTTATACACAAATAAAATACAGTTTATTTCTATTGTATTTTACTATTGCTTTATTTTTTTGTGAAATCTATTCAAACCTGATTTCACTGCAGTAGATATGTCTGTGTTGTGCAACAACATGGACAAGCTATGATAATTGAAGTGCATCTCAGCTATCTAAATACTGAGGTTCACCAGATGTGATAAGCGTTGTACAAGATAAATTGCTACTTTGACATTCAGAACTTAGGATAAATAGAATAACTCTTGTCTTCATCAATAAGTCTTTAGTTTTTGTGTCTGATCTTATTCAAATAAGTCTTTTCTTGTTTTTATAATATCGAACATTTTTTATAAACTACAAATAATAATCCTTTTATTCTTTGTGCTTAACAGCTTCAAGGAGTTACACTGCCGAAAAGGTTACCGCCCGCCAAATTACCAAAAAATGATCACTCAAGGCTAACTTTTGTTATATTGACACATATGCAGCTCTTTTTGAGCATTGCGACTACTAGCCATACCACGCCCTGTATATATTTTATAGGCTTGAGCACCGTATGGATGTTTCTGTTGTGCTATGGTTATTGAAGGAAAACATGGTGTTTTGCGACTGAGAGCTTCAATTTAAGTGCTAAACCCCGGTTTTAGAAAGAAGGTATCACAGTAGGTGCCCAAATGAGACTGTGGAATTTGAGGCTTTACAGACTAAAATTCACGGAAAAAAAAGAATAAAAAAACAGTAAAGTCAAATTGATAAAGGTATGTTTTATTATCAAACTGACAGGTGTAAAGTAAACTAAAGTCTCTCTACTGGCCAGGTAGATGATCCTTCTTATATACTATAACAATGGATAAAAGTTCTATTAATTAGATTGACAAATAAGTCAACTCAGATCAACTAATGTCTAATCATGCTAAAAGACAACCCCAGCAAGCTAATCATGATTTAGCTCTGTCTGGATGAATAATTAGACTCTCATCCGAAGTACCCTGATCTATCCTTTCTATAAGGATAATTAATATCGATCTAGTAGCAAGTATCCGATAGGTACAGTCTACTTAGTCTATATTAATAGTACATATCTGAGTGTATATCGCTAAGCATACATCTTTAGCATGTATCTGGATATATGGCATGTCTATAGCATATCGTATGCATGTCTATAGCATGTCTCATATATAGTACAAGTCTGTAGTACATAAAGTATCTGTAGCTAGTATCACGGATATAAGCATGTGTCTTATAGCGTGGATCATGAAGTGCACATCTGAAGCAACAAGCTCATATTGCATTAATCTTGGTGCCTATCCAGATATGGTAAACATCCGTAGTCAATATCGGAATACAAGTATAAGTCTATAGTGCCATCCATGTCCGTGGTGCCATCTATAGCCTATATCTTATATAGTATGAATCTTATAGTACTAGCGTATCTGAAGTCCATATCTTCTCATGATCATAGTATAAATCGATATCGTACATCTAATCCAGTGTACATACAGTTTATATCTAAATCTGGTAACTGGATGAACTGTCGGAATGCAGATCATAGTGGATGTATTCCACAGAGACCATATTTGGTAGATCAAACATAGGAGAACAAAGTCTGGTTAAAAGAGAAGAAGCATGGTTGAATTGGCAGTTGTGCATTGTTGTGCCAAAAAGGCTACAAGTGTCTTTAAAGGCTAAGGTATTCTTTTTGGGTAGATATGTCTGTGTTGTGCAATAACATCATGGACAAGCAATGTTAATGGAAGTGCATCTCACCCATCTGGATGCTGAGATTCGCCAGATGCGATAAGCGTTGTACAAGAAAATTGCTACTTCGGCATCCAGAATCTGTTATAAATAGGTTAACTCTTGTCTTCATCAATAAATCTTTAATTTTTGTGTCTGATCATATTCAACTAAGTCTTTTTACTTCTTTTTGTGGTATCAAACATTTTTTATAAGCTACAAATTATAACCCATTTATTCTTTTTGCTTAACAAAAGTATTACTGTATATTGTAGACCAAAAATTTCCTATCGAATGAGCTTTTGCTTAAAGCTCCAGCATAGGTCTATCACGAAATATTGACAATCTTGTCCTGACCAAAAAAAAGTCGCCCAAATTTTTCATTTGCTATCACAGGCCAGATTTTGTCTATTTTCGACTTCTTTAATTTATTTTATGATACTCGACTATGAAAACTCTGGTTATCATCCAATGCTTCTTAATGCAATCTTGGAGTACTTTTCAAGGCGCTTTCAATGGTACTAGTTTTAATAGATGTTTTGAATAAACTTACTGAGAAATTTTAATAAATATGAAATGAAGTTTATGGCCAAAATACCGAGATTATATATATTAAAATTTCATAAATGAAATTTCAGGGATTGCGTTGGATTCAGGGAAACATTTTGACTCAATATATACCATAGTACAAATCCTCATTTTCAAGATGAAAAACGCAATCGTTTGTTTTTCGATGAAAACCATGAGGTACCTTTTTTTTTAAAAAAAAATATTTTTATTGATTGCTCCGTGTAAATAGGTCCCTAGGGCATTACCAAGAGGCGGGCGCAATTGTTATGATATTCAATTAAATTTAGGATTAAGCGATAGATGACGGGAACAGATGATAGATGACAATTGTGATTAGAGAATTACAATTGTTTATGAATTTCAGTTTGGGCATATAGTTGAAAGAGCTCGTTCTTGATCTGCTGGACCACATCGATCCATGTAAATGGAGTCGAGTGAAAGATCATACGAACTTGAGCTCGCCATATTGTTGCCAAGTGTTACCAGTACGACCATGTGAGCAGTGGTGTACGATTTGGAGACATACTTGATGTTTTCAAAGTCAAGAGAGGAACAGGCTTGGATAATATCACCAATCGAAACGGTTGGCCACAGGAATTCAAAGATGATAGCTTTCCAGATGGATACCTTACTGGAACAGAGGAAAAGCAAGTGTACAGCATTTTCTAAGTTACCACAGATCGGGCAGAAAGGTGACTCAGCTATCTCAAAGTAGTGTAGCAGGCGTTTGGTCGGGATGGTGTGGGTGAGGAAGCGATAGATGACATTACGGTGGACAAGGTTCAGGGACAGAGACCAGAAGAAATTCCAGTTGGACCTGGCGATGCTGGAGGTGCGAGCCTCGATGCATGCTGTGCGGAATGTTCTGGTTGAAATCTGTCGAGTGAGGCCTTGCTGGCTGTTGAAGTCATAGGAGTCAATGAACGGTTTAAAGGAGATGTCGGTTGTGCGATTGGTGCCATCCTGAGGGGGTTGTAGCATGAGGTTAAAGTACGGTTGGATATGTACTTTGTTCTCGTTCATTTGCTTCAGGATTTTCTTGCAAGCGCGTCGAATGTCAGTTGGAATGGTTGATGCTTTTCGTGCTTCGAGTTGCAGAGGTTGGTCAGGATTGGGTTGATAGAGATCCTTTACTTGCAACTGAGTGGCCCTAATTGGCATTTTGGAGACAGTGACAGACGGCTGCAGAATGGCTTTGACAGGTAGGATTAAGGCGGTAGCAATGTTGAGGTGGACTGGTTTGTGGATGCGTTTGAGGCGGTCAACTGATTTGTAGATCATTGTTACCGTGTTGGTGCGTTGTTTAGTGAGACCAGTGGTTCGTGTGAGGGGAAAGAGCAACGGAACCTGCACGTGCGCACTCTGATTTTGCTTATTCACTAGCATGACCAGTATGAGATCTAGGATGTGGGGCGAGTTAGAGGGATGGAGGAGCGGTTGAACCCAACGAAAGTATAGGGCTGATTGTTGCAGAGCAACATCCAGAACACCTAATCCACCTAATGGCTTCGGCTTGGTCCATGTGGCCCAGGGGATAACAGGAAAGATGCCGTTTCGTAGAAACTTGGTGCAAATGGACTGGATAGCTTGGACATTACTTTGAGCAAACGGGGTTACTCGTAGTACATACCAGCATTTGGACAAAATCAAACTGTTGAGCACTGTAGCTTTGCCAACGACGGAGAGATTTCTTACACTGTGGATTTTGGTAGCTGTCCGGAGATTGTCGACAAGACCACCGATAAATACTTCACGTTGTTGAACCGATTGCAGCAGAGGAAACCCGAGATAAGACTAAGGCCAATTGCTTTGGGCATTTGGTGTGTCACATTGTTCTTCTTTGCTAAGTTCATGGTTCGTTCAGCATCTTCCATTATGATCTGACACCGCAGAGCGTTTTGGGCAATGAACCTCCCTGGTACGAAGCCCGCTTGGTTCTCGTTGATCAGTTGCTTAGCGACTTCCATCATTCGATGATTAAGCAAACGTGTCAAGAGTTTGTAGTCAGTGTTGCAGAGGGAGATAGGTCTATAATTTGCCATGTCATTGGGGTCATTTTTCTTGTAGAGGATTGTCATTGCCATGAGGTACCCCTCATGGTTTTGAATCAATTTTTGATGATATTTTTTTGGGTCCCCAGAAAGTTGAGCAAAGATATCAGAAAATTAAAGCTGATTGAGAGAGATTGCTTGGTGCTATTCTGGTCGCCTGAAAAGGCTCCTGGTGCGAGAAATCAGGGCTCAAATATACCCAGATTTTGCTATGTTTCGCTTGCTTTGATTAGTGAGAGGCATTACAAACATGCAGTCTGTCCGTGTAAAAGTTGTATCCATTGATACAGATGTAAAGCAGCAGGAAAAAAGTCGGTTCCACAGTCATGGACGGTTTTCGTACGATAACGCAAAGTTAAGAACTCGCCAATGGTAGAATATTCGGTGGAGCTGATAACGTCTTTACTAAATGGACAAAGGCGATCGTTAGCGTAAGTCGCCACCTTGTATGTTGGTTCTTTTCAAAGCGAAACAAAGGCAAAGAACTATTCAAAGTGAAGGTGCACTCGTTTGATTATTTAATTTATTCAAAAATTTACCACAGAATGACATTGCGTTTGGACTATCACACTTGTGCCGCAGTTTGCCAGGCCTTTTCTAATTGAAACAATTCATTTGCGTATTCAGGGCTCGGTAAAGACGTAGATTGCCAGTCAGATTCTAAAAAGCTGCTCACACGGCCATGCACTTGTGCCTCCATCTTCATGAGTTCAGATATAAAACCAATGTTAGGAGACATATTGGGTCGTGCTTTGATGACATGGCGGTATGCCCTCTTGAGTGTCCATCGTTCCGAAGTGACCAAGTAAGCCAAGATAGCTGTGATAGAACGTGATTTACCAGCCTTGCAATGTACATAAATAGGTTCATGATTTCTCTTTGCCTCCTCTAGAATCAAAAAAGTGTTAACATCTCGGTGTTTCTTTTGAAGCCCATACACTGATCCACGCTACCTATAAATTGCACAGCTTCCATCATGACAAGCTCGATATTCTTCATCTCCAAGGTATCACGAGCTGCTATTTTATGATAATGAACTGAACGTTGACTCAAGCCTTCATCTTGGCATTCTTCCGCCATATTGAGTACGCGCTTGATATGGCGTTCTTGTATCAATTGATCTGCTTGTTCTGACGTTTCAATTTCTGGGCCCACAAACAAGAATCCAGGTATGATTTCTGAAATAACAAATCCAAAATCTGATTCAGTACGTGGAGAGCAATCTGCTGTCATGACTTCATCGTCCTCTGCCACACGGTTTAAAAGAGGATTGCTGTCTGAAGGGGCAGCCATATTGGTATCGAGATGGATGCCGTTAGTGGTAGATGTCGCGGTAGCATGGATGGCAGCATGAGGTTGAAATGAGGTGGTATCTTGTGCTTGTTGATGAGATCTTCTTTTTGCTCTTCGCGCCAGCGCATTTGCATTATTTACTCGGGCAGCTTGTGTATCTAGACTGAATAAACTTGTTCTCTTGTGTAGATCTGTTTTCGATTCTCCAATGGTATAACTGATAGAGCGTCTCGGTATATTGTTCTGTTTAGTAGTAATAGTGCCAGCACTATTTGTCGAAGGGATATTAGGGGGTAAAGAAGATTGTTGCCATTGAGATGATTCGAGCCAATCCTGACACTGAAGAAAGGATTGAAAGCCGCCGCATAAATAATACACTTTTCCTGGATTCTTCTTGTCAGCTCCAACGAGTCTTTCCAATACGTTGAGAAGTGTCCAAGCATGCGATGTTTGATCGTCCTCTGACATTTCATAATCGTACACGATCCAGATTGGCTTACTCTTCTTTTTCTGCTCTGCTTCCATGGCTTTTTGCTCAAGAATAGTAGAAAATTTGGGTAATGATGCTTGTTGCTTTTTGGAGAGATACATGTCTCGACCTTCGGGAGTTGTAATAAAGTTTTCCAAGTTGAAGTTTGAAACCGTACCTCGTTGATATCGTTTGATGAGCAACGAAGGCAGATTAACGTTCAAAGAGCCCTTGATACGGCATTTTTGGTATTCCATGATATTTCGAACATCAATGAGTGTCACTAACGGGCCCTGGCCTTGCTGTTCAGTAGTAAGAAGCTCAATCAATTCATCTGGTTCAATGGGATCGGCCTCTCTTTCCATCGTTTTGGCATGCGATTCGGAATGTGTGCGATTGAGTTTTTGATGCGGCTGTTGTAGAGGGATCTGTAGGTGCTGGTGACTGATGGATCTATGTGGGACAAGTAAAGGAGGTTGTGTTGTGCCTAATTGAGCCAGTAACGCATCAGTGTTATCCTGTAGTCCTACCAACTTGTCCAATTTCGCCAATTGAGCGGCAGTTAAGGACAGTTCAGCCATCGTGAGTTTGTTGGATTTGTTGGATGGTAAATGACCAAATGTGAAAGAGTGTCTGTGAACGTCTTGGATAGAGACCAGATGATGACGCCTCTTACGCTGCTCTGCTGAATGCCGCTTTCTTTGTCTTGCCATGGACGCACTTTCTTTGTGCGACGCCGAAGGGGTAATTTGAGGGAGAGAAGGATGAACTGATTGAAGTGGTGCTTTGGAAGTGATGATAGGTGAATCAACATGTAGCTCAATAGCCGTAATGTTTGGCAATGATACTGACGGTCTTGGTTGATTTATCACATTGAGTTTTTCGTCCTGCTTTTTGAGCTTCCTGGAGGAGGTGAGGTTGATTGGAAATCTCTTCAAGATACTATTCGCTAAACTTGATTTTTTTTTATCATTGGTTGTATTCGGCTTCTTTCTGTATTTATCAAATAGCATTTTTCTGAAGGGGGAGAAGAAAAAGAAAGAGAAAAAGAGAAAGAAAGAAAGAAGACTGTACAACACTGTAGATAATTCACTTTTTGATGATAATTTCTTTGTGAGACTTGCAGAAGAGTGAAATTTTTACAGCTTTTGATGTCTCCTTTTGACCTTGCTGCTTTGGAGAAATCTCTCGTCATGAAGCGAAAAGGACCATCGCTTGTGCGCTCGGCAGCAGAGTCTATTGATTTACATCCCACTCAATTGACCAGTATGATCAATGTTTGATGTAAAAACCTATGCTGACAAACAAAAAAGCAGCCGAAAAAATCTACATTTATTTGATTTAATATTTGGTGTTACTTGCCCCTGTACAAAAACAGCACCTCAATCATTTACTATTAATACATCTAATGTGTAAAAATAAAAATATATAAAAAAGAAGAGAGAGATTATATAAACTGTGCCCTGATTCTATGCCAAACCAAGCTCCATTAAACGCATCAAACGACTACATGTCCGTAAATATCTGTGAATATGTGGAAAAAGTGTGTGCGATGAGTAACATTTCTTTTTATGACATTTTGGCCGAGGTACACTCGCCAAATAAATTGCTCTGCATGCTCAATTAGAGATGCTGGGGGGGTTTTTTTTTTTAACAGAACAAGACAGATTTCCATCAAGGCTGATTTAGCTGCGTGTAACAATGAATACACCTACTCCATTCGATGATAAAACATGCCTTTGGTTGTACATTCATTGAAAATGAGAAGATCAGCAAGTAATCAATTTAGATTAAAATAATTGCAAATGACAACGTTTGCATGTATAAATATGTACATGTGAGAGCAGTTGTCCGCTGCTGTTCATTTTTTATTAAGGTAGCAAATATACACAAGCAAAAAAGAAAAGAAAAGAAAAGAAAAGAAAAAAAAAAAAAAAAAGAGTGGTAGTGGTATTCGTTCATCGAAACACATCTGTGTTGCGGAAACTGCTGTTGTCTCGAAGCGCATCGTTGTGGGTTTTGTATTCCATTGTTGTTTCTGATGGTAAATTCAAGTGCTTTTTGATTGTATCTCTGCAGAGAAGAATGAGTCAAACACACTCTCTGCTTATAGACGCTCTACGCAACCTACCTAATCTTGAGATTGATCTTTCCGTTGGAGGATGTCTTATTCCAAATTGAAATGATATCCTCTGATCCTCTGATGGATAAGACCGCACCGCAAATCTCGTCTTTCACGTCAAATTGATCTCCAATAATGGCTAATACTAACGACTCCCAATATCTGCTTGCCAATCCCTTTTTGATTCTAACAATCCACTTTCCACCATTGATATTTACATTGTCCTATAGTTCAGCTCAATAAAAAGGACGCACATAGACACTGTACCGCTCTATAGCTTTACCTCCCAAACAGGTCGAACGCCTTCTTTGAATAAATGATAATCACTGATATTGGGCAATTCACTGGGGCGACGAAGATGACTATACACAGCCCAAAATTCCTCAATCTTGAAACAAAAAATCAATACCTAACGAGGCTAACGTAATGCATGAAATTACCGTATTGAATGTTGCAATCTTCTTCATGGCACCCTCATAATTTGTGATTTTCTCTCCTGGAGAACGGTGCATAAACCAAAAAACCCACCCATAATGAAGCGCGTGTGATTTCTCCTCATTAAACCGAGTTTCATCTGCTGTTTCGAAGGATGCTGTGTTGTTCATGGTGGCAATTATTATGTGATGTGTTTAGTATGTATACTTTTCAGAATAAACTCGGTGCAAACAGGTTTATTAGGTAGGTGTTTTCCAAAGGAAAAAAGTAAAAAGTAAGGTGTATCTTGGAGTGGAGGGAGAGAGAAATTTTTTCATCTTTATTGGTAGCACATTTTGACAAGAGAAAGGTCACAAAAGGGGCGTCAGTTCAGCACAGCAAGCATGAAGGCAATGATCCCAACGCTCTCTTTCTCGCTCTACATTGCTTTCAGTCGTATCAGTTTTTGCTCCATATTGATGACGCTTTTTTTCAAGTTGATTGATCTGGAGATTGAGATCATCATAAGCAATCAGAAGCTCCTTTTCCATGTCACAAAGTCGAGTGACATTTCCTTGCTGCTCAATGCTCCACTTGCTCTTGTTGTACGTCTGGCGTAGACTTGTGTAAACAACATTGATGGTGGCTAGCCAGTCGTATGAGGACTCGAGCTCGGTGATCAGGCCATCAAACTTTGATTTGGCTGTATTATCAGCGGCTAATGTGTGCTTTTTTGGTAGTGATTTGCATGTGAGGTGATTGGAAGGATTGCCTCTTCGTTTCTTTCTTGCTGAAGGCTCCATATGATGCTGCTGTTGATCTTGTAACCTCCTTTTGAGTATGACTATAATCTTGCTGGCATCTTGTCTCTTTCGGTTGAGCATTTGTTGGCTCTGTCTAGTCTTTAGAATAAAGCCATGTTGCTGATAGTGGGTAGGCATAACTGTACGCTTTAGAAATCATAAGAAAGAATGAAAAAGAGAGGCGTAAAGCATGAAAGTGGAGAGGATTTGAGGTGTAGATGCTTATTTCTTGTACGACAAGTGTCTCAAAATGGCCCAGTGTTTCGCGTTTTATGTTGGCATCACAAATGTTGAAGTGTACCAGGTAAACACAAACAAATGCTCTATGTTTTGATGCTTATAAAGCATTATGCAGACGCGATAAACAAGTGCACAGTGCCTGTAAACTGCTATACCTATTAAAGTAGTAGCGTATTCTGGGAAATCTCGTAAAGATCCTCTCAATTTGTATCTATAGACGCGTAGAGAGTAAAATTGCTCTGACGTTTCGGCAGATCAAGTGGGGATTGCAGTATGCTAATCAAATTAGTAGAAAAGCATATCAATATGATGCAGGCGTTTGAATTGTATGCCATGTGTTATTCAGCTTTCGAATAAAGATGCTGTAAATAATTACCAAATGTATCAATTATAAACCTAGTTTTGAAAAAACATACTGTAGATGGTGGTTTGAGCTCTGATAATGTGAATGAATGGTTGCAGTAATGTAAAAATGAACAAGACAGAATCATACGCCATAATTTAGAGTATAATTCTAGCAATTTGTACGTGCATTATTGCTGTGTACGCTTTAGAACCATCAATTGGTAGTATCCTGAATACTAGCCGATCTATCTCGCTACGCCCGACGTCGGCGTCGCCCTGCGGGCTCTCGCCGAAGACATTTCAAATCAGAGATATCAAGTAGATTTTAAACAATCAATTAATAGTAAAAGAAAGGCTATGTCAGAGTTAGGAGGGGAGGCACCTATTCGCTAATGTTTCTCTTGAGCTGGCGACATAAAGCTGGCCATGCGTAAATACAGGACTTCTGCAAGATCTTTAGCAACTTTTTTTTGAGGTATTGCCAGTGCAAAGGACACCTTTTTTACAGGAAAAACCTCTCATAAAAAAAGTATTCATCAGGTTAAGAAATTGTCCTTTCAATTCCATGATCCCCATTTAAAAAGCATCGCAATCATCATTTTCATCATCAGAAAGGCATTTGGTGGGTCAGCCAACAGCAGAGCCAAAATTGATTCAAATCCAGATTGTTTTTTCTGCTCAAATATTGGCCAAATCTCGTCTTTTTTCGACTTGATTGAACAATTTTATGAGATTCGACTATAGAAACTGTGATGATCACCCTACGTTTCCTAATACATTCTTGAAGTACTTTTCAAGGCGTTTATAATGGTTCTAACTGTAATAAGTATTTTGACTGAAGTTATTGAGCAATTTAGTAAAGTTTGAAATGAGGTTTTTGGCCAAAATGTCGAAATTTTGCATATGAACACCTCGCAAAAGTAGTTTCAGAGGTGGCTTTGGATCGAGAGAAACATTTTGATCCAATATATACCATAGTAAAAGTCTTCATTTTCAAGGTGAAAAATGCGATCGTTTGATTTTTGATGAAAACCATGAGGTATCCCTCATGGTTTTTGGTCGATTTTTGGCCATGTTTTTTTGCCGAAAAAGTTGAGCAAAGATGTCAGGAAGTTACTACTACTCAAGTACAATTGTTTGGTGTCATTCCGGTGGCTCATAAAGGTCTACATGCCAAGATATGAAGGCTTGAAAGCTGTCAAATTTGGTTATGTATTGCTTTATAGAGTTTATTTACACGGCATGAATCACATCTTTGGTAGCTGAAGTCTTCTGGAAGGGCAGTTCTGCAGTCTGTACAACTTCTAATTTGAATAGAAGACGTATTGATTTTGGTAAAGCTAATTCATGCAAATTTTGTTGCATTATGTTGTTGGTAAACGTATTAACAATGGAAATGAGAAATCGAATTTGCTGCTGAATACTATGGTTTTGAACCTTCGCCTCGCTGCGATCAAGCTCCTAACCTTCCTATAAATCAATGCTACCCAATATTGGGTTAGATGCATTATTATGTTCTTGGTGGAGGGGTTAAACCCCTCCCCATTGCTGGATTCGCCGGTGTCTTTATTCACCTTTGCCCAGCTCTCAATACTACAAATTTTTGAAAGGATATGATCAGCTTGTTTACTTTTTTTTTAGAATGTTTTACAGTATATATTTCAGATCAGTGATAGTGATTAGTGATAGTGATTAGTGATGTGTGGTTGGTTACGACATATTTCGAAATATACAACATTTGAAAAAATGGACGTATCCGCTAAACTAGCGGGAAAAGGGATGAATTATAAAGCAGAAGAGCCCGTTTCGGTAAGCGGTAGACAATGTCGTATTGGGAAATTTTTTTTGCTATAACATTATGTTATAGCAAATAGGAGTACAAAATAGCATTTCAGGGACTTAGCGAACTGGTGTGTCTGCATTTCAGGGACTTAACGAACTGGTGTGTTTGCATTTTGATGATTTAGCGAACTGGTGTGTCTGCTATAACATTTGGTTATAGCAAATAAGAGTACGAAATTGCTATAACATAATGTTATAGCAAATAGGAGTACAAGATAGCTATAACATTTGGTTATAGCAAATAAGGGTACTATAACATAATGTTATAGCAAATAGGAGTACTATAACATAATGTTATAGCAAATAAGAGTACAAGATAAATATAACATTTGGTTATAGCAAATAAGAGTACGAAATAGCTATAACATTTGGTTATAGCAAATAAGATTACTATAACATTTGGTTATAGCAAATAAGATTACTATAACATAATGTTATAGCAAATAAGAGTACAAGATAGCTATAACATTTGGTTATAGCAAATAAGAGTACTATAACATAATGTTATAGCAAATAAGAGTACGAAATTGCTATAACATTTGGTTATAGCAAAGGACACTGTTGATTGGCTAGTTATTAGCTGCTCAACTTGATATTTCAAAAATTATAATGTGTTGTTATAGCTGTTGTTATAGCTAAAAAAATTGATGGCAGACGGCGTCAAATCGTTTAAGTGATTTCCTTTTAATGCTACAACAACGCCTCTCTGCTTCTTTACGTCTTCTCTGCGCAATTTATACGCTCAACTATCAAGCAATCCTTCGTTGGTTCTTAATGCCTAGAATACTTTTTTTTTCCTATTTTTTTTTTCCTAATTTTTTAACTATGACAAGGGGAACATATCAATAACTAATATCAGAAATTCAATTTAAAATGATAACTGTCTTGCTCCGGGATGTGATGATGATGAGGACGCTACTACAGGTGTTCTCTGTTGTTGTTCAGTTTGCTTTTGCTTTTGCTTTTGCTTTTGCTTTTGCTTTTTCATAGCGCGGTGATAAGCACTTTGAGCACTTTTGTACGACTTATACTGCTCAAAGCGGCCCAGTATTTTCCACTGTTGGAATTGAGCTTTCCATGGTATGTGTCCGTTTTTGTCCACTTGTTGCTCAGCAAATTCGAAATCGGATAATGGATCCTCTAAGCGTCGCTTTTGTGCTATTCCATCGACATACGCAATGACATTACTCAAAATGTTTACGGCTGTTTCAATACGCACGCCAACAGGTTGATCTTGATTTTCAAGGGCTGCCTTTGCCTTATAGCATTCTGATTTTGATTGGGCACATACACTTTTTAATGCATGTATAGAGTTTTCGTTGTCATGGATATGGCTACCACGTATATTTTTCATTTTGGTATACAGACAAATTAATGTTGGATCATTGCATTGTGTAAAGTTGATAAGTGATGTCTCTTGTTCAATAAGACAGTGAACAAGTGCAAGTAATGGGTTTAACGGGGTTTCGTTGAGATAGGGCGCAATAGTCTCTGCATTGAAAAATAGACATGAGCTGGCCCAGCCAATACTCGACAGCTGCTTTGCGAAAGGGATACGAGAACCAGGTATTTCAGTTTCAAGTAGATATCTGGTTGTCGAATTAATCACAATTGCCACAACAATAGGGAGCTTAGACGCTTTATGTTGTCTAGAAACCGAACGCGAGTAGTCGATTAGTCGTTGATAAAAATTCATATCTGCCTTGTTTTGAATCTCGATTAGAATACAAGGTAGGTCATTAGAGCAGTTGATTGGCTCGTACGCGACATCAGAGCGAGTGAAATCAATCCACTCAGTTGGAATGGCAATGTATTGATCTTTTGCCTTTGGTCCTACACAAACGAAAAGAATTAGTAGCATACTAACAGGCATATTTAAGATCATACCAATAACTGCTGAGACAACAATATTAATAACATCTTGATCAGCTAACAAGAGCTTGCTCATTAAATCGGTTCCGGGTAAATACTTCCTTGGAAGAGAAAAGGTCTTGAGGTTGACGCCGTCTGCCATATTTTTAGCTATAACAACAGTATAACACGGAAATATATGGAAAGACACAGAGCTATAACAACGCATTATAGTTTTTAAAATATCAAGTTGAACAGCTAATAACTAGCCAATCAACAGTGTCCTTTGCTATAACCAAATGTTATAGCAATTTCGTACTCTTATTTGCTATAACAACGCATTATAATTTTTTCGACTATATGAAATGTGATAATCAGCACGTACTTCCTAATACATTCTTGGAGTACGTTTCAAGGCGTTTCCAATGGTGCCGAGTAAAATAAATGTTTTGACTGAATTTATCGAGCAATTCAAGAAAATATGAAAAGCGGTTTTTGGCCAAAATGTCAAGGTTTTGCATATATAGGCCTCGCAAAAGTGGTTTCAGAGGTTGCTTTGGATCGAGAGAAACATTTTGATTTATGATGTACCATAGTAAAAGTCTTCATTATCAAGGTCAAAAAACGCGATCGTTTGATTTTCAATGAAAACCATGAGGGGTATCTCATGCTTTTTGGTCGATTTTTGGACCATGTTTTTGGGGTCCTAAAAAAAGTTGAGCAAAGGTGTCAGAAAGTAACTGCCAGATGAGAGCAACCATTTGGTCCTATTATGACAATCTAAAACGGCCTTGGACGCGAGAAAACGCAGCTCAAATGCATTCGAATTTTGCTGTATTATGGACACTAAAGACTAAAAAGTGGAAATACCAGTATGTTACTTGCCCGTATATGAAGTAGCTAGATGTATATGGATGTAGAGCATCACATAAGAATCAGATCCACGCATAATATGAAGGGTTTTCATATGCAAGTAGACGGTCAGCTTGAACGTAGTAGTATTATGATAAGGTACGCAAGGGCAACCGGTAGCTCGAGCTGTCGCTGTACAGGTTGATTCTCACCGAAACGAAGCGAAGGTAAAGAACAATCTGAAGCATAAACACTCATATGATTAGTGATTATATATCAATCAACAATCAGGGTTCTTCTTCTAACATTTTAGCTATATTCATTTTGGGATATTAGCCAAAGACCCGCGGCAGCGCGAGCCGTTTGAACGTAGGTTGGTTTCCACCGAAGCGAAGCGTAGGTCAGGAAACCACCCAAAGTGCTGAAAGGCTCGTATGGTATAGTAAAAGTCTCTATTTTTGGGATCAAAAATGTGATTGTTCAATTTTCGATGAAAATCATGAGATACCCACTCATGGTGTGGAGTCGATTTTCGACGATCCCAAAAAAGTTCAGGAAAGATGTCAGAAAATAACTGCCAGATGAGAGTAACTGGTTGGCGCTCATCTGGCTGCCTAAAACGGCCTGTAGCACAAGAAAACACTGCTCGAATGCACCTAGCATTCGCGCTCTGTTTTGCACATTTAAGAGTAGTGAGGGGTAGTGCCAGCATAAAGTCTGCTCTTACATGCATTGGCTCCTTCGAGACAGCCGTAGAGGATTGCAAAAAAGTCAGCTCCGCAGTTATAGGACATGCATTAAATCACCATCAACATGTATTGTACAGTAAATGCCGCGATAAATTATTTTATAAGTAAACAAGATGGTTATAACGTAAAACTAGCTCTCTGGTTATCCAACTGTGGTTTCGTTGACTTGTAAATATTATTCAATAACTGTTGCAAATCTTCATTGTCATCAGCAGCACCACCAGCAGCTTTGGAAGAGAGTTCGGCATCTTGATTCACAAGGCGACAGCCCTCAAGGCTTTCAACCTTATTGAACAGTCCAGACATGAACAGGGTGCGTTCTTTGGCTGCTGATAGACTGAATCGTTGTCTATGATAAGCAGGTCGATCAAGAGACTTGACCAGCAAGTCTGTGGTGTGCCTTAGGTCATTGATCAAATGCTCTTCATGAGAGATCCAATCCTACAATTAGGCAATGAGCAACGGATGTCTACTGCTTTTGACTTGAAGACCCACCTGATCGGCATATCTTCCCTTGTCTAGACGTTTCAAAACACCATGAATAGAAGCAAATTCCATTTTCTTTCGTTGATCCGCATTGAGTGCTACACGCTGATTATCCAATGACCTTGACGCTGATTTCTGAATCTGTTGAACCAGGTCTTGCAGCACTTGATGCTTTGGTAAAGGAGCTCGCTGATCCTCCATTCGACCCCTTGATAATCGCTGCACTGTTTTACCCAAGGTGGCAGCAGCCAACTCCTTGACTTGTTTCTCTGTCAGATCGACTCTTTGATTATTCAGTCTTGGTGCTACGTGAGAGAGCCGATCAATGGCATCCAAGAGTTGATCCAAATCACCAGCAGATCCAGTGGCGGGCTCGCCAGTCTTTTCTTCCTTGATACTAAACCCATGTGGAGTAATTGAGTGGTATGCAGGAGGAGGAGGCGTAAACGGAGTGCTGTCGTGTTCGTCGTCATCATCAGCGTGGAGAGCGTCTTTTGTCGTCGAAAACGTCTCATGATGGGCATTGTAAGCAGGAGGATCCTGTTGTTGCTGTTGCTGTTGCTGAACGGCCAATTTGCACACAATGTTCATCAGGTGGTCCATTTCGTCCCATAGCATGATCATTTCTTGACTGGCATCGGCTTCATCAATAGACATGATGCCTTCTGCCCGTTTGCGTTGAAAGACAGAGACTTGATCATGCAGTTCCTGCTGCAGCAGATTCACATCGTCCTCTTGTTCTGTCTTGACCAGCTCTTGTTGCTGCTGGCTGGAGTTCAGTTCTAATAGTCTATATACATCGTTCAACAGAGCAGCCAGTGAGCAAGACAGTGTGTAGTCTTGTGCATTGAATTGGCGTTGAGGATGAGCATCCAGGATACGATATACGTCTGATATGCTGGTCGCTGGGGGCGATGATTTACTGCGTGCCATGGAAGTGGACGAAAGTTCTTGCAGCAGGTTTGTGTTTTGCGTGATGGAGCCCAGCAGGTTCTTGGGTTGGTGGGGTGGTGGCTCAGTGGCTGCTGATGGATCAGATAATCGTCGTGCATGTTTGCTATGTAGGTTTCTAACGATTTGCAGCAGTAGCAGATCCAGTACACAGAGACAAATGTGCTTTACTGATTGCAGTGATTCAACGACGGGGGCTGATAGACAGCAGGTGTTTTCGTAGTCGACCGGCTCTTTGGACAGATTCTCTAAAATGGGGTCGTCTGTGATGTTATCCACTGGTTCCGGAACTGCTGGTTCTTGTTCCTATCAAAAAAGAAATGTTCAAAATACATTGCAAATGGGACTATGATGGACGCTATTACTGTGACACAGGCAGAGGCAGAGACAGAGGAAGAAGGCTTTTTCTCTCTTTGTAGCATAGCCATGATATATACGTATAGATAAATAGACAAAAGGGAAAAAAGAGACCACCAGAAATTTAAATCGTTGAAAACCTTATATATACACACGCTTGTGCCCACAAATAGAAAAAAAGGGGAGCTGGTTAGCATATCTCCTTTTCAGAAATAATAGTACGATTTAATGAACAAGCATCTCCCTATTGTTTATATGGAACAACAACAACAACAACAACAACAACAACAACAACAACAACAATTAAACGCATAGCAAGCAAGACAGCAACATGACATGGACTTGGTATGGTTACTAGCGGATGGGAAGACTATAAAACCACACTGTTTCGTTTGCTTTGTCTTGTCTTCCCAACACACACACACACACACACACACACACACGATGCAGCTGTTAAACAAATGGATTCTACTGTTGATCATAGTCATTGTTTCGCTCGAGTATGCCATCCACAGCATAGATTTGGCCAACACAACAACCAAGAAAGAGCGCAAATTAAAGAGCACGTAACCCTTCCCGTGAGCCTCAATCCAGTTGACGGCACTAATGCGTTTTGTTTAGTTTCTTTGCTAAAGGAAAAAATTGTGCTTGATCATGGTTTAGGTATGCTATTAGAAAAAAAAACCTGTTTTTATTAGATCAACACATGCTTCGTGTCACCAACACATCTGTTTAGAGCTGTATAAGAATTTGCAACAGCACGAATCTGATTGCTTCAAGAAAGTGACAATGATGCTGAGTGAAGGGTGCGATTCATTAGCCAACTTGGATAGCATCAAAAGCATGACATGTAACAGACGTACATTGTTTAGCTGGGTTGACATAGTGTAGCTCATACTCTCTCTCTATTTTCGCTGTTGTATAGATGCCATCTTGTTGACGTTATGCGAGTTGTCGACAGCGGCTATTCCAATTCCACATGAATGCAGAGCGATACAAAGCCATAATGCCAATGCCAGCCATGATGTAGTTACTCAGTGTGCTCTGTAAGCCAGTATTCTGTATTCTGCTTCTTGTAACATCTTACTAAAGAGTACGCTTAGCACGCTCTCCAAAGCGCCTCAAACATGGACGTCGTACAGCGGCAAGTAACAGGATGCATTCATCAATGAATTGGGCTCTTACTTCCTATCTAACCATACAGGTTACCATCGAGATGTAGGCAAGTAATTTAAAGCATGTATTGACCGTACGCCACCATTTTAATTGACTTGATCCTGTTTGTGCAACCCTCCTGCAGTCATGATGTGCTTTGCTATCCGATATCCCATGGAAAAAGGTAGGCCCTTGCATGTGCTATGATGGTCCTTGTATCTGACAACGCAAGAACAGAGATCCTGGAGAAGCTGCATGAAAACATCACACTAAACCAGGCCAAAAACTACGAGATACTCAAGAATCAGCATGAATACTTGGCCCAGTGGCACCAGCAGGAGATGCATACTTTTGATCACTTGAAAAGGTCGCAGCGTGAGCTCTGGTACCAGATGCAAGCCATACAGCAAGTCCATCTCCAAACTGCAAACCAGGTTCAAATGATATTCGACACGCTGAAGCTGCTGCAAAACTCGACAGAGCTGGCAGTGAACAAATACAACAGCATACTCCAGATCCACACACAAGAGTTGCAGTCTCAATTGAATGAGATCACCATGCGACACGCCATAGAGATCGATCAGTTGGTGGACAGAGTGCTTGGTGATTTTTCACAGGTGGAAAAGGGTCTCTCTCGCATGATGACGGCGCAGCGCAAGGTGGTTCAAGACTGGGAAGAGACCAAGATGATTCAGCAAGAATACCTGGATGTATGGCGAGACTCCATTGAGCAAGTCAACAGTAGGCTGACTGAAGTAATGAATCACTCAATGCAGCATATAATCAGCATCAAGCAAGACATCTCCATTATACAAGATCAAATAGCTTGGCTCACTGTACCGTTCAAAAGGCTACATGCATCCGTCGCCTGTGTGTACGGTGAAATTCGACATTATGCTCTCCAATTCCTGATGCATGCGCTCGTCTTCAACTATGTGATGAATGCAAAAACAGGAGGCTTGATCAAGAAACTGGGATCTGCATCCATGGCTACGTTCGGTATGTTTCATCGCTAAACAACATGGCATGCCGTCTTTTTTTTCCTTCCATCTAATACTCTTTTTTTTTTTTAAAAAAAAAAAAAGCACACTTCTATTTGTATCGTATCTTGATGGAACACTTGAAAGATGAGCCTTACATTGATTGTGCCGTACTCATAGTAGAGGTATATAAATGACTGCACGCAGCATGCGAATGAGTTCAACAATTGACCGCAAATTAGTATGCCTTTGCCAATGGAGCGCTCTCTAGATACGTGGCATGGACTCGCCCCCACCTGCTTTGGGATGATGCTTCTGTTAGGCAAGCACCCCCTTCTCATCCAAATGTCAGTGAGCAGCCGCGCTCGCCTAGTCCTGCTGTCGTGTCACAGACAAGCAATGTGGCGGGCCCATCTACTGCTACAACTAGTCCTATCCGGCAATACCATTTCCATACTTACTACATCAAAGAACGCCCATCAGAGCTCGTAGAGACAACAGACGAAGAACTGGAAGATGAAGAGAACGATGCATGCAATGCTATTTTGCCTATGGAAGTTGAGAATTACAGGTTTCCTCCTCAACCATTTCAACGTTGATAATAAAAAACCATTACTGGCTTTCAATCCAAAGCATTTTGCTTATAAACCCACCCTCTACAAAGTTTCCCATTTCAGACTTTTTCTTTCTATCTTTACTCATGTCTGCTTCTGTTGCAAACTCTACAGGACCCTCAACACCTGTGTCAGCTTCACCAAAGCCAGCTCCAAAAGCAAGCGATGTTCAAACCGCAAAGAATCCAGAAGAAAAGAAAAAGAAGAGAACCAAGAGAAAGCCCAAACGACACTCACGTAAACCTACGCTAAAGACAAAGGTAGTGGTAAGAAGACTACCCCCCAACTTGCCAGAGGAAATTTTCAACACGTCAGTCAAGCCATGGATTTCAGAAGACACAGTGGATTACTCGGTATACGTGCCCGGAAAACTGAGTAAAAGGTAATAGCAACTGGCCATGATAAATGGACAATAAATAACGAGATGGAATAGCAAAGCAAAGGAAAGCATATTTTCGCGTGCTTATTTTCACTTCAAATCTATGGAAGCTGTTATCGCATTTCATCAGGGCTATGATGGACATGCATTTGTGGACAGTCGTGGTCAGTATCTTGGGTGAATGGCTTGTCGAGCCGACGATTAATTGATATCTATAGGCAATGAATTCAGAGCTGTCGTCGAGTTTGCATTATATCAAAAGATACCGAAAGAGCCTAAAGCCGCTGATGCTCGCCAGGGAACCATTGATGAAGATCAAGATTATCTGGATTTCTTGGAATCATTAAAGGCAGAAGAAAAGGCGCAAACAGAATTACAAAACGAACCTGCAGATGGCCTCACTCAAATTGAGCGATTGGAAAATAGAATTGCCATGGTTACAGGTAAGATAGCTGTCTGGTGGTTATGAGAAGGGCAGCGTGTATTCATCCCACCCATAGCCAAAACGTTGGCTGCTGAGCAAGCCAACAAGCCAAAGACCACGCCTCTTTTGGAACATCTGCGAGCCCAAAAAGCTGCGCAGGCTGCTGCAAAAGCCAAGGCCACAGCAAAGAAGAATGCTCGAAAGAGGGCTGAAAAGACGGCTCAGAAGAAGGCTGAACAGCAAGGAGCGGGTAAAGTCCCTAGCCCATCCTCTCAGCAAGCAGCAGGACAGCAAACAGCATCTGGAGAGGGAAAGAAGAAGAGAGAGAGAAACAGAAAGAAGAAGGATGCAGATGGATCAGCAAAGAAGAATAGCAATGGCGCAGGAGGAGATACATCAAGTGTGAGTTCTGCTACTGGATCCACTGTGTCCAATACATCCAAGAGCCGACCCTCTAGGGACAATGCAAAGAATAAGGACGCACGACCTACTAGACCACCCAAAGAGCCTAAAGCACCCAGACCACCCAGAGATGGTGCCAACAGCACTGACAACTCTACGACATCTAATCCCAAACCTAAGCGACAAAACAATAAGAAATCGAGTGAATCAAAGCCTCAAGTAGTCAAGATTCTCGGTCGTCAATCACCTGCGCCCAAGAAGCAAGAGACAAGCGGATAAAAGAGCCATTGCATGATGTTCCATGTTCTCTCACGTACACATACAATGAATGCTTTTTACTTCAGCAAGAAACAGATGTTCAACAATAGAGACAGGGAGAGAAAGCGTTTTATTCAATGCAACAACAACAACAACAGCGGATTCAGCATGTGCCTGTATATTCTGGATGCGTGCTTGCTTGCGTGAGTCTGTATGTATCTTGATATGGTGTGGATCTCTCTTTTATCTTTTCTGTCGCTCGTATTCACACAGCTGCATTTATCTACATTTTCAACCTGAATAAATTCGAATGTGACACGCTCACTCAAACACGTCTCTTTCTTTTGTGCCCAATCTCATGTCGAATCCACACAATATCAACGTGAACAGTAGTAAAGAAGAGGAGATGCATACCGTCTTTGATACACTGATCCCGTCCCTTGAAGCGCTGTCTGACGGCTTCAAAGATATGCACAAGCAGTTTGACAAGCTCAAAAAGGTCAATGACAATCTAGTGGAATTCAATGATTCTTTCGGTGCCTTTCTGTTTGGATTAGCAGCGAACGATACAACAATAAAGTGGCGTTCGGTAAGAAGCCATACACAGTGTCGCTAGCACGAGACCTTTTGCTCATATACAATTCACGTAGCCGATTACCGAGAGCGAAATTGCAAAGCACAAGAAACACTTAAATCAGTTACAAACACACGAAGCGACAAAGGCGGTTCAGATTGTCAAGCAGCCCCCTCATACAGCCACAGCAGCCTCCTCCTCATCAACAGCAGTAGCAACAGCATCCTCATCATCAGCAGCAAAAGCGAAATCTGCGCCGAGGCCCCTTCTCAAAAGACCCATAACCGAGAAATCACCTGAAAATGCCCGCAAAAAGCAAAAGACTATACCAGAGATACCAAAGCAGCTCGTCTCAAATCGTCGCTTCGAACCCAAGGTAAACTTGGAATCTATTGCTGGCGATTAACTAAGCTCATCTCACTTTTTTTTTGTCCAGGTAAATGTCACCAGTATCATCAATCGATTGCCCATAAAATACCAGGACAGAGGAGTAGGTATTATGAAATCGCATTAGTGGAGATTTGACTCAATCGCCCTTTATTTGACTAGGCGCCACACGACCATATGACAAGCGTATTGAAGATCCTAGGATTGCACCCGGAAGGATTGTAAGTAGTCAAGAGTTGAATGTCAAGTAGATGACTTATGGAGTGTACATTGGATAGAACTGCTAGAAAATTATCATCAGAGACACGGTTAGCGCAACGATTCATTACAGATTGTGTCAACACATTGGTCTTTCGAAAGGAGGTGATCAAGGTCCAGGAAGAGGTAAGGTTGGAGTACTCATTCCATCTGTTCAAATACCAATGCCATGATTGCTTAGGGCCAATATGCAAGGTATCTTTTTGATCCAGCTCGATTCCCCAGTGTACCCAAATAAAACGAAACTCTCTTGGAAAGACTGTCTTGTTTTGTGACGATTTGAGACGCTAAAAATTTTCTTGAAAAACACATAAAAGGTGGATCCAAGTTGGCAAATTGTTGGAGCTTCTTTAATTCACGTATCTGCCTTAGATCCTTTGTCAAGGTTCTGATGTCTATCATCTTGACCTACAGAGCTTATGTTTTGCTTTTCGTTGACAAAGCTTGAGTCATTCAGATACAAGATTACTTATACCTCCATCTCGGTCCAGATGTATGGTTTCTTGGCTCTCTGTACTGTGTAGGTCTTGTTTATGCTGATACTTGTATCTTTGTAGACAAGGTTTACAGAGTCCTCAAGTCGTTGCCATGGATTCTTTTGGGGAAATTTTCTCTTAAATATATAAAAAATCTAAATGAAAAAGAAAACATTTGCATCATTTACCAAAATGTCGCAGTGGCTTTGCATGTAGATGGACCAGCGTCAGATCTTGCCGTAGATACCAGCTTAGAAATCGCATGCTTCTATACTGTATCTTTTGAGGTGCAATGACATGGACATCTGGTCAGTGCCTAATCGATGTTGCCATTGCGTATGCTACATTGTTGATTTCTAAATGTCGCGATATATATTTATTTACAGTGTAGTGTCTTCTTGATCATAGTTGTCATTGATGAGTCTATACACATAAGTGGGTGGTGCAGATCCTCTATATAAAAGGCATTAGAAAATCGCATCTCATCCGCATCACACAGTCAACTTACAAATTATGGATGAACAAACTGACTAATCCTGGCTGCACATAATCATAGTAAGGATTGGAGACTGTAACCTTGTCTGTGATGGATCCTTCTTGAAACTGCAGAACGCTATGAGGGCTTACAGTGACATTGAAGGTATCGGAATCATACGCAAAGAGAGGAGATAATTTGTAAAGCGCTGTGCAAACCAAGACAGGTGTCGAATGATGCTTAGCTGCTGCTGCCAATAAATGAGATCCTGTAACAGCTACTAATCCACCATTAGCCAAGACAGCGTGGGATCCAAGAACGACCTTGTTTACTCTAGGCATTGCTGCAAAGATGGCAGAATCCGAAATGACAGTGGTGTCAATGCCGGCAGCTGATAAACTGCGAGCCATTTCATGGCCTTGATATGTAGGTGAAGTTTCTGCAACAATGACTTGAAATTTACGTTTGTGTGCTGCTCTTTTCAAAAACTCTTCCACAGTGCGAGATTTGCCAATGGTCATGATCACCTCGTTGGCATGGATAAAATCAGTCGCTTGATCAGCAATGCCCTTGTATACACTCTCCAAATCAGCAATCACTTCGTCGTTGATTTCCTGGATGATCAATGGCTTGAGATTGTAAGTGGTCTTCTTGACATGGTGCGCAGATACTTGTCCACTCTGTTGGTGATGGTGGCTATGATGATGGTGCTTTGTGTTGGGTCCATCAGATAAAAGGTTGAACATGGAAGATTGAGACAAGAGTGGATGTTCGTTTAATTGAATGTTGATGTTGGTTTTGGTTTGGCGAGGCTCTTCTTCTTCTTCTTCTTCTTCTTCATGTGAAAAATCACTGTCGTCTTGCTCAAAATCATCGTCTTTCTCGTCACCCTCATCTTCCTCGTCATTCTCTGTCATGTCTCCACTATTCAAATGATCTAATTCGCCATGAGCAACCTCACGAATGATTTTCAGCACACGGCGCACAATGTTTCCAACAGCCAACTCTATTTTGATCGTCATTAAATGCATATCAGACGACGTTTCGGTAATGCATCTTACCTTTGGGTTGAGCAGCAACGAGTCGACTACCCAATTCAGTGATAAACTCAATCAAGAGATCAACATTATACCAGCGAGTAGTGGAAACGGCTTGTCTAAGGATGATGGCAGTTTCCTTGGCTACTTCATATGAGCCAATGATCTCTCTAATATATGGCCAAATGTTGAGCCAAAGGAAATCCAAGCATTGCATCGATTATTACCTAGTTTTCAACCTCAAGATGAAGCTATCTACTTGAGCTTCCAATGCTTTCGTAAGTGCCATTGTGATGATTCACAGAGAAAAGATTTTTTTTTACAATATACAAGCTGATTAGTTTGACAGATGGGGGTGTGTGTGTTTGAATCCAAAGCGATTTCCGGGACTGGTTTACCGCTTTGATCTGTAATCAAAAAATGTTGCAAAACCAAAATTTTCTCTCCCTCTTTCAACCATCATTCAATCGTTACATTACAAATGGAAGGATATCAAGGAGCGCCTATTCGTCAACCCGTTGCCATGACATACCTGTGTGCTGGTAATATGGCTTGTATTTGCTCTACCTTTACAAAGCATTAACAAGTTGGATACTTAGATTGTGGCGCAGAGAATCAATTGAAGCCAAGAGAGCCCATCCGTTGTCAAGATTGTGGCCACAGAATCATGTATAAGAAGAGAACAAAGAGAAGTAAGTGCATCGGTGGAGAAATTAAGGAGGGAACTGTTCTAATGGTGGCATTTAGTGGTTCAATTCGAAGCTCGTTAACGTGGCATTTCTTTCTTTACAATCATCTCAATTCCATTTGTATTATATCATCAATAAACTACCTATTTAATGAATCAGAAGCTCGATTAGAGAGATTGGGCAATATATAATTGATAGCCAACTCATTACCGATATGTCTAAATCAGCTCTATTGTTCCTTTTAAAGCTGTAGAGTTTACATTTCTGTGATTTAGGTCTACTGGATGATGTTTTTTCCTGGATTTTGGAATATTATGAATCAAAATAAACTTTGTAACACGAGTTGGGATGCATTTCACAGATGCTGGAGGGTTTCTAGAATGCTATATCATATCAAATTACCAAATCATCAACAGGGTTCGTTTTTCATACGCATGAAAATGTTGAAATACGAGACCTGAATTCAGCCTTTTGGCTGCAAATGTTTGATCTGGTGTATTTTGGTCAAATTCAGGGATACATATATCAGTTTGGAGACGGTGCAGAACACTGCCACTAGAATGTTGCTTTTCTTTACATATTAGCAAAGCTACATTTTAATTTTATGGTAAAATACAACAAAGATTTCGTATCAAGACTCTGATAACATGATTCATAGAAACATGAACCAGCTATGATTCAACGGATCTATCATTATTCATTGACATATGATACGGAAGGGAGCAGGAGTTGTCAGTACCCAAAAACGAGCCTTATAGCAGCTTTTTATTGGTGAGCTTATATCAAAGAAACCAGATGTAGTGTAACATCTTGTACCCTAAAAAACTTGGAAGTATACGGAACAAACATTAGGCTCACAATTTGCTGTAAATCAAGATATACTACTTGCGAAGCAGATTTTCGTATTGTAATTAGCATATGCTATTTGTTATGACACTTCTGTCAACAATTTAGAATTGATTTGTCGTCTATAGACGTTTGATGTCATTGTGTCCAAAGAATAGATATGACATCGTACTTGATAAGAGCCATGAAAGATTGTGATTTTTGTACACAACGGACGAATATGATGTAAAGACGTATCTATCGCTCAATTCCCCAATGCTTGTAGTGTAGGGTGATGGGATGTCATTTTAAGTATGGTGTGATATTCTCGGTACCTTGGACAAGGAATACAGAAAATAAAAGCTTACCAAATAACGTATGATAAACCGTTTTATATATTAAAACCGATGGTAGAACCCGGATAATGCCACTGATGTGTCGGTAAAGCGAGCAAAAGAGAGAAAGATTTAATATACAGATTAAGAAGTATTCCTAATGGTGGCATTTATACACAAAAAAGGAACTTGAAGTGATGAAATGTGTTACAGCATGTGAAATAGAAATCATATGAAAAGTTATAATGCATTCACGTAAATGGGATGGATCAAGAAACCTCACTTTTATATAAAAGGATGTAGGATCAACCTGGAATTCAGAAATTATCAAACACATCAATCAAAACAAAACAAATCAAATCAAAATGAAGTTCTCTGCTACTCTCATCGCTACTGTTGCTTTCTTGGCTTCTGCTATGGCTCTTCCTACCAATAGCACTGTACCCAACAATGGTATGGGTGGCACCCTCGCTACTGCTAGTATCACAGTTGATAACCCTAATGCTGTTGCTCAAAGTGCTTCTACTAAGCTCAATACTGGGATCATGGCTATTACCTTGACCTCTGCTGTCACTGCTGCTTATGCTTTGATCTGAAGCACATACCTCTAATTCATCTAGACTTTAATATACTGATCAAGCATGCAAATGCTCTGATTGAATACCTCTTTACTACTGTTCATACTTACGATTACATAACATTCTAATAAATAAATCCTATTTCTTATAAATAACACTTACCAAAATTTTGATCAAGCCATTCGATTCACAAAAGCTTGATTTCGGACAGTTGTAAGAGAAACTATACACATTAAGTTGACACGATCGTTGTTATTCAAAATACTCGTAGCTGGCATCTTCATGTATTTGCTGGCCAAATGGTCTGATTACAGCTGTAACTATAGACATGTGCATTAGACTAAAATTCGTGTCAATAGGTGATTGCTGTATTGGCAGAATTTTATGATCTCTATACTACATGAAACATTCAAAAAAAAGTAGACAAACAAATTATATCCTTTCAAAAATTTGAAGAATTGGGTGCCGTACAAGGTGAATGAAGCCGGCAAGGGGGAGAGGGTTTGGAGGATGTGCTAAGCCCATCCACCAAAAACATAACGCATCTAACTTAACATTTCGTAACATTGTCCTATGAGGCAGTTTGCCGTAGCGAAGTGAAAGAAAAAAATTATGGCAGCTTAGCCTCTAACCCACCATTTGGTAATATTAATCTTAATGAGGGGTTTACAGTAGTGAAGCAAAGATGTAAAACCATAGTATTCAAGCAGCAAATTCGGTTTCTCATTTCCATTATTATCAAGCTTACCAGCAACACAACGCATCAAAATTTGCATGAATCAGCATTACCAAAATCAATATGCCTCCTATTTGAATTAAAATTTGCTCAAGCTACAGAACTGTCTTTCCAGAAGATTTCAGTAACCAAAGATGTGATTTATGCCGTGTAAATAAACTCTATAAAGCAATACATAACCAAATTTGACAGTTTTCAAGCCGTCATATCTTGACATGTAGACTTTTATGAGCCACCGGAATGACACCAAACAATTATAGTTGAGTAGTAGTAACTTCCTGTCACCTTTGCTCAACTTTTGGAAGACCAAAAAAAAAAAAAAAAAAAAAAAAATGGCCAAAAATCGACCGAAAAGCATGAGGTACCCCTCATGGTTTACATTGAAAATCAAACGATCGCATTTTTCACCTTGAAAATAAAGACTTTTATTATGGTATACGAGCCTTTCAGCACTTCGGGTGGTTTCCTGACCTACGCTTCGCTTCGGTGGAAACCAACCTACGTTCAAACGGCTCGCGCTGCCGCGGGCCTTTGGCTAATATCCCAAAATTAATATAGCTAAAATGTTAGAAGAGGAACCCTGATTGTTGATTGATATATAATCACTAATCATATGAGTGTTTATGCTTCGGATGGTTCTCACCGAAGCGTAGCGAAGGTAGAGAACCAACCTGCGCAGCGGCAGCTCGTGCTACTGATTGCTCTTGCGTATTTTATCAAAATACTGCTACTTTCATTTTGACCCTCCACTTACACATAGTAACCCTTCATATTATCTGTGGATCTGATTCTTATGTGGTGTTCTACATCCATATACACGTAGCTACTTCATATACGGGCAAGCAGCATACTGGCATTCCCACTTTTTAGTCCTTAGTGTCCCTAATACAGTAAAGTATGGGTGCATTTGAGCTGAATTTTCTTGCGTTCAAGGCCGTTTTAGATCGTCAGAATAGCCCCAAATGGTTGCTTTCATCTGGCAGTTACTTTCTGACACTTTTGCTCGACTTTTTGGGGACCAAAAAAACATGGTCAAAAATCGACCAAAAAGCATGAGGTATCCCTCATGGTTTTCATCGAAAATCAAACGATCGCATTTTTCATCTTGATAATGGAGACTTTTACTATGGTATATCTTGAATCAAAATGTTTCTATCAATCCAAAGCAACCTCTGAAATTATCTTTGTGGGACTTTGATTTGTAAAATTTCGACATTTTGGCCATAAATCTCTTTTCATATGTTACAAATCATTCAATAAGTGAATTCAAAACATCTATTTTACTTAGTACCATTGGAAGCGCCTTGAAAAGTACTCCAGGAAAGCTTAAGGAAGCATGTGGTGATTATCATACTTCACTTAGTCGAATCTGCAAAAATAGCTCGATCGAGTCCAGAATCATCAAGATTTGTCCAATCTGGAACAGACTATGATTCTGGGTTTGAATGGATTTTGGCTTGTGGGGCCAGCTGGCAAACTCAACGCCCTTTTCATACTGCAATACAGTAGTAAATGCTCTTGAAGCGTATGAAAAAGTAGGTGGCAGGCCATAAAGCTATCGTTTATAATGATATTTTATTGCATTCTATATCGTTCATAATGACATCGTCTTGCATTCTATATTTAATAACGTTAGTCTGGACATTGGCGATTCATGGGCTGCGTAAGATGTCTGCAGTAAGTAGTGAAATCTGTGAGGCTCTGAGACGTCGTTCAAATAAAACGTTGACAGCATTGAGTGGAGGAAAGAGGGTAGAACTAACAGTGGTTTTTGTTGATTGATTGTAAAATCATTATTCTCATATGAGCCAGGTCTGATATTAAATCAAAATGCTTCTCTTGATCCAAAGCAACCTCTGAAACCAATTTTATGAGGTTTTCATATGCAAAATATGGCTATTTTCGCTAAAAATCTCATTTCAAACTTTATTAAATTGCTCAATAATTTCAGTCAAAACGCTCAACACAGTTAGCACCATTTGAAGCGTCTTGAAAAGTGCTTCAAGAATGTATTAGGAAGCGTAGGGTGATCATCACAGTTTATATAGTCGAATATTACCAAATATATTAAAAAAGTCGAAAAAAGACAATATCTGTCCAATCTTGAACAGAAAAAAATAAGCTGAGATTGAATTATTTTTGGCGACGGCTTGCTGCTGGCTGATCTAAATGCCTTTCTGTTGATGACAATGATGATTGCGATGCTGATTAAACGGGGATCATGGAATTGAAAGGACAATTGCTTAGCGCAAATACTTTTTTTGGGGGAGTTTTGCCTCATAAAGATGTCTTTTTCAATGACAATATCTCAAAAAGTCGCTGTAGATCTTACACAAGTCCTGTATTTACACATAGCCAGCTTTATATCGCCATCTTATTAAGAGCATCAGCAGCAGCGAATAGTGTGACAATTCTACTATCAGAAAATGGCATAAAATTTGAATTTTCTTTCATATCGTCTCAATAATTGGTTTCGTTTGATATCAGTGTGAGCAAAAAGGATACTAAGGGAGATACCTCCTCTCCCCCTGGCTCTGATATAACGTTTCTTTTTTTTTTTTTTTTACTCAGAATAAATTGTTTAAAATCTACTTGATATACCAAAATTTTATTATATCTGATTTAAAATGTCTTTGGAGAGAGCCCACAGGGCGACGCTGATATCGAGCGTAATGAGATAGATTGGCTAGTGATTTCTATACTACATAAAACATTGCACCGCATTGTGCACCTGAAAGGAACATGTAAAAGATGAGTATTTATGGTTGTATCAGTATATCAGTTACATTTTCACTGCCCAACAAACGCATTGGGTGTATATATATATATATATCTAGTTTACAAAGATTGTTTGACTTTAGCATAGACTTGGACTTCAATTCCGCGTAATTTCCTTATTAAACACTATAAATTCAACCCAGGTTTCATCCATCATACAGAACAGGCCATTGCTCTGCGAATGCGGAAACAAAATGTATTTGAAAACCTTCATCTCAATTGGAAAGTCGATATAATTAACCAAGACAAGAAAATGCAGGCGATGCCTCATTAAAGCTATCATCTCTTAATTGCTTTTTCTCAACATCGAAGCCGAGGTTTTAGCATGCACAGACCATAATAGATGGTACATAAGGTTCACTGGTTGTAGATGATGTGAGAAAACTATTAAATATGACGAGAATTTGAATCTAAGAACACCCTCGGCGTTCATCGAACAATCGAGCTAGCACCCACGATACATAATATCTGACTTGATAGCAGGGCTAAACTAAATAGTTATATGAATGGCATCTTTCTCTGCTTGGAACATTCCCCCTGCTCAAAGATGAAATTCACATATTCGTTTACTGCATGCGGTTAAACAGATATTGGTTCGGTCTATGACTAACAATTTTCAACGGAATTACACAAAGGAGGTACAAACAACGTAGACAATTCGTAATCTAGCTTTTTAGGATAAAACGTGCAAAGTGTTACACGACCATACGGCCGAGACATACGAATATTTATATGATTGACAAAGCACCGTGTCTGAAGAAACAGCAATTTGCCCCTGAACATCACAGTTCATCATGCATGATTGTCATGTAATCTATCTAATGTTATTACAAACACATCAATTTAGCAAATACACTTGTAATGGGATCATCAACGCATGGTTGTCCTACTTGGAGGATGCATTCGGAGAGCTAAAAAAAACATTTATATATTTCTGACAAGATTTCTTTTTTCCCTTCGATCTTTAGATGGGGTTCCCTTTCACTTGTTTACCATTTTCATATATTTCGAGATAACATGCCAATGAATACAATTGCTTCTCCTGCTGCTTCAATAGAGATGAGGACAATTGACGATTATAAAACACAGAACGATCAATACTGGACAATCATCGAAAAGCAAAGATTAATCATCAAAACAATGCAGAAATCACTCAATCAATTGACGAGTGAAAATGAGATGCTGATCAAGAAAAACAAGGAATTAGAGTCATCTATCAAGAATACTGGCAATTCAGCGTCTACACCATTATCAATGGAGGCTACCACAGCCACAAGCACAGCCACAGCCACAACATTAGCTTCAACGCCTGCCGTACCACCTAGATCACCGTATCGCATCAATCACAATCATAGCAATCATCCATTAGACGCCAGCGTTGATCTACCAAAGAGGCCGCCTGTATTGAAATTAGCCATGTCGAATCATGCTCACTTCCAGAACCGAGCAGCAGACCAACCAGCAAGCACAACCAAAAAGACAAGATCCAAGGTGCAACACAAGAGAAATCACTCGCAAACAAGCAATCAGCCTAGTAACAGCGCCACTAGTAACTTGAATATACCAGTGATGTCCAAAAGTAAATCTGAACCTTCTACCCCTGCCCAACCACGCACGCCTCGCTATGATTCACTTCATAACAACCATCCACTAGACAGCCATGTTGCTACGCCAACGACAGCCACTGCTATTTTAAGAAATCTGTCCAACGTAAATGTCAAAGTTATATCAAGTATCAACACAAACGAAAAGGGCTTTACCATTGGCATTCTGCAGAAAGAAGATGACCGGGAGATATGGAGAATAGAGAAATCACTATCAGACTTGATGAGCTTGGATTCAAATGTGAGTTTCTAGCCAGATCATTTAATGAAAATTACCATATTTAACAAATTTATTTTGTTCTAGCTCAAATCATCAAATCCAGCTTTGGCGTCAACATTCAAGAAATTACCTGACAAGTCTCTATTTGCAACCCATGCGCCAACCAAAGTGGACGAAAGAAAGGTATGCCTGCACTGTTACATGTATTGTCATGTCCTATATCTAATCCAAATGGGTAGAGCATGGCCCAGGATTACTTGCAACATGCCATCACCTTGAAATCTATAAATAATGATATTCTGTGTGAGTTTTTGAGTACCGACAGAATCCACAATCTATCCATTACTCTCACCAATGTAAGGATTTAGCTTGCTACCTATAGAAAGAGCAGCATGACTAAAGTCAGCGTATTTTAGGATGCTGGAACCAAAGAAGGCTATCTGACAAAGAAGGGAAAGAACTTTGGTGGCTGGAAATCAAGATATTTCATGTTGGATCATAGTGGCATCTTGCGATACTATGAAACTGTAGGTTATTTGTAATGTAAATCATGGAAAAGTGGTAGACTGACCAATTCTATCCTGCAGAAAAATGGAGCTTTCCTTGGAAACATCAACCTCATCAACTCGCAAATTGCCTCCCAACCTCAATACGAATCGAAACATGAGAGCCATTTCCGTCATGCGTTTTTGATTGTCGAGCCAAAACCCAATGGTGGATCACACAGCAAACATATTTTCTGTGCTGATTCTGACGCTGAGCGAGACAGTTGGGTCGATGCCCTTCGTTTTTATACAAACCAGCTACACATTACCGAAGACATTATCAATTCCTCATTTGCCGCTGACGATTCAATGATGACCATTGATCATTTGGTGGTGGAGCCGTCCTCTTCAACAGAGAGCAATAAATCGTCCATACTTAAGAAGAGACCCAGCATTGATTACATTTTAAACTATTTTCAACAGACAAATGCCAGTCGTCGAAGATCATCTACGTCAAAGACATCATCACCTACAACCTCTGCCGACTCTTCATCTGTTGATGCTTTTCCCGCTACAGTCAGTTCTCCAGCAACAACGGAAGAGCAATCCGAGGAACACATAAAAAAATCAAGACACAAGAGCAATCGCAAAACCTTCTGGGGCAAGAAGATGTTTGCATCTCACACGGATAATCCAACATCCCCTCATAGTCTCACTTTTGGCACAAGTGATTATGAAGAGACGTGCGGCCCTAACCAGATCTTTGGTATCCCTCTTGAAAATGCAGTTAATGTGTCTCGAGTGTGTGATCATTACGATTTACCTGCAATTATTCATCGCTGCATTGAATACCTGGAGGCGAGAGATGCTCTTACCGAGGAAGGCATCTATAGACTGAGCGGAAGCTCTGCAAAGGTGAAGATTTTAAAGAAGCGTTTCAACAATGGTGAGTGCGCTTGTCAGAGATTCGCTAATTTCCATGCTGATCATCTTTTTTCTTTGATATATAGCTGGAGATGTCAGGCTCTTGGAAGATGAGGAATTCCATGATGTGCATGCTATTGCTGGTCTTTTGAAGATGTGGCTCCGGGAAATGCCAGAAAATATCCTTACCGAGGCCCTGCTGGGAGATTTCCTGAATAGCATTCGTAATGTATACTGTGCCTGTGATGATTCAAATATGTCTAATTGATGATGTGTATTATTAGATCTCGATAAGGAACAAAACAAAATATGCGAAGTCGGCAGATTGATTTCCACTCTCCCCCTCGCCAACTATACACTTTTACGTTCCTTATGTGCTCACTTGATTCGGGTAATCGAGAATTCTGACAAGAATAAAATGACACTCAAGAATATCAGCATTGTCTTTTCTGCTACGCTGGGCATTCCGTCCAGCATTTTCAATATGCTTCTCAAGAACTTTGACTACATCTTTTGGACAGATCGATGCGATGATCAGCAAGTAACTGAAGATACCATCAAGATATACATGGCAGAAGAAGAAGTCTCCTTTGATGCACAGCAGTTGCACCATCCTCACGATTTTGTTCATCCTGTGATGAAACGAGTGGCTGAGTCGTCTTACCAAGATGGCTTTATCGACAGTGGTAGATCCAGAAGAAATAGTATTCATTACAAGGACAATACGCCAAAAGAGTTCATCTCTTTAGAAAAGCAGCTTGATGGTATGTAATCTTCACTGGTTTAAAGGCATTCGTGTTAATGTGTTATGTTTGTAATAGCTGTTTTGGATGACTCTTCACAGCTGGATGATGACATTTACTACAGTGATGGCGAACTAGAGATTGCTTATTTCGCTTCTAGATACAATGCCAACAGCAAGACTTCAAATCATCTTCCATCAACAGAATATGCATCAACAGCAATTTAATACCCCTTTATACTATCATGAGCCATTTCTTGCTTGATTGATTCAGCGAAGATGGCCTCGGCCATTGTACATATGCAACAGCTACAATTCTCTCGTTTACTTTATCTTAATACTGTACTTCCGCTCCTTCTGCTCTATTCCTTGACAAGTTTACTCGTCAACTTTCCTCTTACAGTCCTTACCAATCAATCTATACATACTATACACAAATTCATTCCAAACAATCCCTATTATTTAATCACTCCCTTATATACTACTATCATTTACTCAATAAAATAATTCCTTATAATAATCTTCATTCACTGATGGTACTCTTAAGATGGTGACACCAAACTGGCCATGCGTAAATACAGGAATTCTGTAAGATTTACAGCGACTTTTTTGAGAGGTTGTCATTGCAAAAGAAACCTTATAGGGAAAACTTCGAACAAAAGAAAAAAAAAGTATTCAAGATAGGCGATTGTCCTTACAAATTTATGATCCCCCTTTAAGCATCATTGTCATCATCATTGTCATCATTAGAAAAGGTATTTGGGCCAGCCAGCAACAGCACTGCCCGCTGCCAAAATTGATTCGACGTCAGATTATCTTTCCTGTTTAAGATTGGCCAAATTTTGCTTCTTTTGACTTGATTGAATTATTTTGTTACATTCGACTATATAAATTGTGATGATCATTCGATACTTCCTAATACTTGTCCCTGGTGGTAGGGCGAAGTGGTAAAACTCCCGTATGCCAACAGGAGGATTCCGGTTCAAATCCTGGTGAACGCAAGTTGTTTGATTTTTTTGAGGTAGTACTGATGTCCTCGTTTGGTGTTTTGTGCTCTTATCCATGATCTATATTTTGACGATTTTCCGCAAGACTGTACTGGCTCTAGGAGTCGCACCTTATTAGTAGTAGATTTCTTTCCCAACTTAGTTCAAAAAATATCTTATTCCCCTTCATTGCAGACATTGGGTCCACCGACAGTCTTTTCTATCCCTTAGTATGACATTTAAAGGACTTTAAATAGAACCTGGAGCTCGACTCCCCTACAAAAAAAAATTCCTAATATATTCTTGGAGTACTTTTCAAGGCACTTCCAATGGTGCTAATTGCAATACGTGTTTTAAATAAACTTATTGAGCAATCTGGTAAAATAAGAAATGAGGTTTGTATTGAAAATGTCCAGATTTTGCATATGAAGGCCTTACAAACGTGGTTTCAGAGGTTGCTTTGGATCAAGAGAAACATTTTGAATTAATATATGCCATAGTAAAAGTCTTCATTTTCAAGGTAAAAAATGCGATCGTTTGATTTTCGATGAAAACCATGAGGGGTATCTCATGCTTTTTGGTCGATTTTTGGCCATGTTTTTTGGGTCCTAAAAAAAGTTGAGCAAAGATATCAGCAAGTTACTGTTACTCAAGTATAATTGTTTGGTGTCTTTCCAGTGGTTCAAAATAGCCTACATGTCAATAAATGAAGGTCTGTACGCTATCATGTTTGGTTATGTGTTAGCTTTATAGAGTTTATTTACACGGCATGAATCACATCTTTGGAAGATGAAATCTTCTGAAAAGGCAGTTCTGCAGCCTGCGCAACTTCTTATTCGAATAAGATGCTTAATATTGATTCTGGTAAAGCTGATGCATATGCATGTCTAGATTTCTGAATAGTGTGGTTTGATCACGCTAGGTTCATGATATGCACTATTATTTTTTCCGCACAAAATTTCGCTATGAGATCATGCTACCTCCAGAGTTCTAGCATCAATCTTTTAAAACTTAATTTTGGATGATGACCTAAAGCTCGAAACAAAAAATACCTTTGTAATACAGAATCTTTAACATGAGTTAAAAGATTGCATCCCATGAGATTGAGACATGTTGGAAATCAATGACAAACGACGTTGTTTAGAATATAGATCATATTTGAGAGGCAAATGTATTATACAACGTATAATACATGAAAAGGATTGAAAAGGGGCAGAGATGCGTGCGTGGTATAGTGAGATCTCTTTGTTCCCACAGTGCAAAAAAATAAGGGTGGTGCCATCAAATGGCTAATCTATATCCTGGATCCTGAAATGTGGTAACCTATAGCCTTTCGTCCCTAAAAGCGGGTTCCAATTTTGACAAATACTCCTCCATCAAATCGACTATGAAGAACATTCTATTCTGGATTTTCACTGTTGTTTTTTTTCTAACTGACAGTCCACGAGCTTTCACGCAACACATCTGCGTTAACTGGTTTGTCCAAGGCTTATACAATTATCCCGTATTCAAGATTAAGATCCTATTGCGGCGGCACTGTCAAGTAACTATAAAAACCTTCGAAATTTATACTAGTTTAAATCCTCATTCAATCTTGGGATGACATAATAAATATATTCAGCTCTAATTGTATTTTCTCTGTCTATATTTCGTTATTCTAAACAGACGTATGATGCTTGCCATGCCATTTGGTACTGGGGGCGGGTATCTGCTGACTAGTAGTGTACTGCTGCTGTATCTATTATATTATTGCTATTCCTACGTAATTAATAAAAATATTAAAGGAAATCGCTCTCGTAAAACTGTTTAATGGATGCTAGATAATTTTGCATTGAAGACAAGTCCAAGAGATTTCATGAAAATGAAGCAACAATAAATTTCAATAGAAATCAGCTGTATTTTATTTGTGTATAAAATGAAATGAAGATCCTAAAATTGAGTAAAAAAAGAAGCGTATTGTACATTTGTAACTAACTTGTAGGATTAGTGATGATAGAGAGAAATTAGTGCTACAATTGCGAAATCTGGCAAATGATGTTGATGTTTGATTTAAAGTGGTAATCAATGCAAGAGCACTGCCCATAAAGGTCGATTCGGATTTGAGTAGCCTGGATGGGGTTGGATGAACTATTGTTATAAAATGATTTAACGTAACCTTTAAAGTTTAAGGCGTGATGTTTGTTATTGAAGTGTAAGACCCTTTACCTGAAGTACTGTGCAGCATCTATGGCATCAGGGCATAGTTGTAATATTTGAATATGCTTGCTATTGGTTTGATTTTATTTGGATAAAGATAACAACATTCATTACGACCATCATGGATGTGATTGAATACACTGCGATCAAGAGTGATTCATTCACACGGTGTGTGAGATAAGAGCGCATCTTTACTTTAGTATGATTAAATGGTATATCGATGCACAGTTGAGTGCTTTCTTGGTAGATTGTTCAAATATCATAAACTTGAATGAGTGATATTTGATAACTTCCGGCTTTCAATGAAATTTCTTTTAGGAGGTTATTTTATTACACTTGTGATTGCACCACATTATTATACATTTAAATAAAGAAGAAGATACACTTTTATTGCAAACACATAACTATTACAAATGACAAATCAATAGGAAATCAACTAGTTGTAACCTTTCGGTGCCTCAACGTCTCAGCCAATCAAATTGCTTGAAAACTCCGCTGACCTAAAAAAAATTTTGCGAGGGTTTCCCCCTGTTTTGATGTGAGGCAAAATTTTAAGCTCCGCTATATAGCAATATAGCTGTTACTATCATCAAATTTTCCCCAGGTGCTAGAGCATGCCTTACTTACACCACCTAGCTTTTAGATTCTGGCGTTGAGACTCTCAATCATCACTAAAGTAAGTAGCGATAACTAAGTGGAGGCAGCCTATCTACCTCCTAGCCTCGGATAAAGTCTTGTTGAGCTTCAGGGATAGGCACATCCACACAACGTAAAAAGGTATGCTTCAAAAGAAACATAATAAAAAAAAAACAAATGAACAAAAGAAAAGAGCATGCTACAGTAGTACTACAGGAGTATGAAGGCAAAAAAGGAATACTCATACGCAATGAGTCAAAGAAAAGCATAACAAATACAACATCAGAGAATGTTCAGAACAGCTCGTTGTTGTTGCAACAGAAATGAATACATGAGCAACGTGCATGATAATAGTCTGTTGCAGAGGAACACAAACACACACAGTTGCATGAGCAATAGTAGTATAAGTGTGCAATACAACATAATGACTAATGTTGTTTCATGTGAAGCCACAGATGCAACACAAACAACAATCCACGGCTATATAACATAGTAGTATTACAACGGTAATACAGATATATAGCAGTGCATCACGCTTGTTGTTCGTATATACGAAACAACAGTGTTGCAAGTACTCGTTGAGCTGATCATATCACAGCCAACGAAAGAAGAAAAAAGCGCAACAAAGAAAACATCATGATGCATTATCATGAGAAAGGAAGCAATAATACAAATGTTCAAAGAAGGTTTATATCATTACGACCAGAAGAAAGAAGATACTTACCACTTACCACAGCCACAGCCACAGATAGACCAGAAGAGTATAGGCAATTACCGGAGACAGACCAGAGAACGAGCATGCACCAAGTATAGTAGACCAGAAAAGACCAGATGAGCAGCAGTAACACCAGTACCATAGACAAACTAAAGAACGAACGCCATCAGCAGAGAGCAGACAAAGACCAAAGAAGTTACTTACCACTTATCACCGCCACAGATAGACCAGAGAACGAGCATGCACCAAGTATAGTAGACCGGGAAAGACCAAATGGGTAGCAGCAACACCAGCACCATAGAAAAACTAAAGAACGAATACCATCAGAAGAGAGCACACAAACACCAAAGAAGTTACCACTTATCACCACCACAGATAGAGATATTACGCAATTACCGGGTATGGACCAGAGAACGAGCATGTGTCAAATACAGTAGACCAGGAAAGACCGAATTAGCAGCAGCAGCAATACCAGTGCTATAGAAACACCGAAGAATGAACGACATCAGAGACCAGACGAAGACCAAAGAAGCAACCACCAGATATGATAAGCCAAAGAAGCAAACAGTAGAGATAGCAGAGACGTAATGGCAGCACCACCCACGTCAACCAGACAAAAAGAATCATCAAAGCCTAATAAATAAATTTAATTAGTGTTAATTCTACGTCTTCCAGTGCTCGTTATCGAATGGTAC